CCTCCTCTCCTTCTCCTCCTCTCCTTCTCCCCCTCATCTCCTCCTCCTCCTCTCCACACCGTCACTCCTTTGCACTACTTTCCGTTTATCGTTCCTCTCTCTATACTGTCAATCGTTGTCTATCTGCTTTCCCATGCTTTTATCCGCCATTTTTACGCTATCTCACTTTGTCATCCTCGTCAATTCGGCCTTTTTTGCAGCCCTCTACCCTCCTCCACCCTCCTCATCCTTTTACATTCCCTCATCTCGTCAATTCGGCCTTTTTTGTAGCCCTCCTCCCCTCCTCCACCCTCCTCACCCTTTTTACACTCCCTCACTTCGTCAATTCGGCCTTTTTCTGTAGCCCTCCTCCCCTCCTCCACCCTCTTCACCCTTCTATACACTGTCTCACCTCGTTAATTCGGCCCTTTTCTGTCTCACCTCGTTAATTCGGCCCTTTTCCTCCCTTTCCCAACCCTTCCCCGACCTTCCATACATCGTTTTTTCACCTCGTCCTCATCCTACTCATCTCTATTTTTAATGATTTCATGTCTGTCCTACCTCCCCCACCCTCTTACTCCTCACACATCTTGCCTCTCTAGTCTCCCATGACACGGAGAGTTATCAATAGTACTTGAGAATGGAAAAAAAATGAAAAATGAGGGGCGCGTACGAGGTCATGTTCAGGGTCACGTGCTTGGCCGACGTGCTTATAATGTAATGGTGTCGATACGGGTCCAACTTGTGAACGTCCCTCACAAAACAGTTCCCCCCACCCACTCTCCCGTCACAGTCACATCACAATGTCGTTCTGGAACGTTTTGTTTGAGCTTTATTTCAAGTAATAACATCACACAATTATTACCTTTCCGCGTGTACATGACTACGACCATTTGACACGTGGTTAGATTACTAAATCCGTTATCGGTGTTTTCTAATATACTTTTGGATTGTATCTAGAAATCAAACATCTGGCAGAGTGCATACTTTCTCAAATTACTCTACGACGATGCATTTTTGTCTTGATGGGGTGAAATTCCCACTTACTTGTGGTATTGTCCGTGATAAATAGACTCTATATTTTAACAAGCATTGTCGTGATTTATAGTTTGTTACGCTGTAATACACGACACCAGAACCGTATTTTACACACACTAAATATGCTTTAGGGACTATCCATCATCTGTTTCTGGCCGGGTGAGAGAGCTGTAGTGGTAGGCTAGAAGAACCTCTTCACGGACAAAGCACGCGCGATCAGGACCCCGAACCAGATGTGTTACAAGTGATGAAAACACCATACTTCATGAAGACGGAACCCATTTGTCAAAGAAATAATGGTTCTGTTGTTTACTCGTTATCTTTACTATAGTCACTTCTAATAATAAGCTATTTCAATGCTGTTCAGTTTATACCAGTTTTGAGTTAGGTCTGAATATTTTCTCAGTAACAATTTCCTGGGAAACAGATACATATTATGACGAACAACGCCTGTCTCCAGTTCGTTGCAAGTGGATGAAGTACCCGTTCACAGTTTTTAATTTTATGAAATAAATTTAACCCTGACGTGTGGGATGACACTAGGGGCGATAACTCCGCCTGACATTCCCTTGATAGTCTTAATACATGTCAAACGCCGGTCGCAAAAAACGTCTTAAAATGTAATTGATAAATTAAATTTTATACCAGTGGCAAGAACAATGCATCTGCCATTGTCTGCCGGTTTTGAGTGCACTAAAAACAGGTCGATTTTTCGGGAGATGGATGGAAGCGGCTTACAGTAAAAATCCGGGTCAACGAAGGAGGGCGACACAATAAAAACAGATGGTTCCAATTTTGTGGGGTGGCTGGGTACGGTTCATTTGTAAGTATCCACTGGATGCCATCAATTAAGTTCTTGCACTGGCGCTTCAGGAATGTTGAAATATCTTAAGTTATCTGAGGATCACTTATGCATATATGTACGTGAAATACACGTGTTCAGTTTATCATAGTAATTAATCTTTCAACTTGCACCTCAAAGATAACCATTTATATAAAAAAATGTTTTAATTGTGTTTTTAGGAAAATAAATCAATATACTATATTCGAGAGAACTTTCTGATATATAGTACAGAATTTTGTCTTGATCATACAGTCATATTTGAATTCAGAGAAATACTGTATAAAACAAGTTGTTTATTACTATATCATGATCGGCAGTTCCTAAAAAGGAAATTATGATAAATATACATTTTATTTTTCTTATCACAACTCCATGTTATAAATATGTCGCAGATATAATAGCCTTTCTTCTCCGAGAGATATACACAGAACACTAGGACATACAACCTTAAAGTAAGAAGGATCTGTTTAAAGGGTACTTCACGTTTGATAAAGGTCATCATAAGCTTGTTATTATTACATGTATATTGAAAGTCAAGTAGGTGTTACATGGCTTCTCAAAATAGTAAAACACACTCGGGTTTCATAAAAAACGAGATTATTAGAGTATTTCACTGCGTAATGGAAACACGCGAAATCGTCATATGTCGTTGTTTGTTTTTATCTTTTGTTGTACGTTCCTATTGGTCGTTCGGGAAAAGAAGGTACATGAGTATTTGATTATAAAGTGGGCTATCGCCAGTGGGACTTACTAGATGTGCTAGATACGTCACCCATCAACACATTATGTCTACGTTTATGGAAATAAATAATTTGATCGATTCCTTATACAGACACTAAACCATTATAACATATAACTCTTAAGAAATCGTTTCCGTTGATTCACAATCATGCTTGCGCTTATAACGAAACATAAGCTGAGTAAAGAGAGACAACTCCTAAATTGGAAAGACTTGCTTACTTGCAAATGGACATAGTACAGGAAACGGACAGAGCATGTACAGAACATTTAAGTCTTCGTGAAATTTGCCCAACCTACTTACCGTGACGATTCAATGATCCGCTTTTATCATTCGATACACCCTATGGCGATTGCGTGCACAATGTATGTAAAAGCATTAGGTATGCGACAGAACTGTGGAAGGAGTTGTTTTATTGAAAAAAGGATGTACAAAATAATCTGAGATAAAAAAAGTAATTTGATCAACACTGTCTTCGGTATCTTCGGTATCGATGTTGTAAAATGAACAAATGATTAAGCCTTGGCTTACTTTTATCAGGGACGTATAATACAGTATCATACGTCCCTGCTTTTATTGACGTAAATTTTTTATCGGTACCTTCCAAGCCATCAAGCAGTCCATGCCGAGCGAAGAAAGACAACTCCTAGACCGAAAAAAACCCATGCGTAAATATATATCTGACTTGGATCACCCAATGTCATTCTGTGATATTTTTCTTACTTTTTTTTTCTCTCTCATTTTTTCTTACTTTTTTTCTTTTTCTTACAAATGAATGCTTCCAAACTTCCGATATCTTCCAGTTATTTACCTGAGGTACATAATACCGTGCGTTCTGGCCAACGGACGGACTGGCCGAATTAGTTTTCCGTAGTTACATGTACTATCATGTTGCTGAAATGAAAATGTTTGCATGGCGAAAAAAAAAAAAAAATGACAAGCTGTTTATTCTCCTGCAATTTCATTCCAGTATTCAAGATATTATCAATTCTCGGAAATTAGTCATTTTGTTCCGTCACTTACCTCAACAAACTTGCGAGAGTAAAATTAATTCTAGCATGGAAAACGTGACAACGCTTCCATTATGCGACGTTCATTGTCACCGGTAACGATATTTTGCAGGTCTATATAGTACCCTGAATCGATTTTCACCTCTTGACTCTTGAGCAAATTAATCAAGCTACCTTTTCTTATCGTTCTACCGTTTAAAAATTATTCTGATAGAAAACGATGTGCTAAAGTCTCATTTCATTAGCATTATAATAGATAATAAATTAGTATAAAATTCGTTTGCTTGAAATCTGATCATTTCCGTTTGTCGGTGACTCAGGCCCTTTATAACCCAATGTACATACACTGTACCCGCGGTTGTCGGATCACGGTGACGTCATGATGATTGTTGTCATCGTTTTACTTTGAAGATATTTTCATAATGATATCTTTATATAAATCTAGTAACTTGATTTTGTGTAATATTTATATGTGAAAGGCTAGATCTTCATACAAACACACATTTATGTCATTATCCTTCGTCTAAATTACTTCCCCTGATTTATATTACTAATTTCTTATTTTTTTTTTTTTGTCTTTTTAGAGAAAAAATTCAGCATTTTTTACTTATGTAAATTTTACATTATTTGAATATAAAATATATGATCTATTTTGCCTTAAAGAATGACAGGAATGATAGTATGTTAAATGAATATATGTATATGAAACAAGAAACACAAAAAGAGCAGTTATTTTAATACAAAGAGTTTTTATCAACATAGGAACTTCCAGTATAATGTGACTTATTTGGAATAATATGTCGACTACGTGCCGACGTTTAAACACCTGTAAAAGGTGACGTGTTTGGGGGTTTGCACTAAAGATACGCAACTATTCTCACATTGTTTTTTTTTATTCACTCTGTTTCTCGAACTCCTTATCATACTCACCGAAGGTGCCTATGTAATTGTGAGCACTATGTGTAGGCAAGGGGCATAGTGTATGTTACTCTTTATACACTTTCCTGATGATTTTGAGATTAATTAAAAAATGTACGCCGATTAATCCAAATCGAAGAATATCTTATCAATGTCAAAATGGATATGATATTTGATCATATAATGAAAAATATTGCTATTTATTTTATGTGACCATTTTCTGTCTGCATCAACTACTGTCCAGGGCATTGAACGAAGATATACGTATACATAAAGAAATGTGATGAAATTCCGGATCCGGTTTCTAATTTAGAATGAAAATGTGTTTTCCGGATAATTTTTCTGAGATTCTGCACCAGTAATGCGATATGCGAATTTTTCTTCATGATACACTGAGAATAACAGAAACAAGTGATGCTTGCAAGTATATATATGTTTATGAAAATGATTCGCTAGTTTACACGAGTTAAATCTGAGGGATGTCCAGTTTTCACGATCCTTAAAAAAACACTGCAGGGCCACTGAATGTATGAAAAAAGGGAGAAAAGAAAGAAGAAAAAAAACCCAGTATATCTTCAACTTTACTTAGCAAAGATGCTAGACAAAAACGATACAAGCTATAGTGTCAATTAATGTAAACATGTTTTAAAATATTACAGAATTATAAGTTTTACTATACAGTTATCTAATATCTTTACGTCCCTGCTTTAATGCAGTAAATACACGATGTCAGTATATCACTGTTTTAATTTATTATTCAGGATTACGCACAGCAGAGGTGACTGAAAGCTGAAATGTGTACCATATTATTATTTTCATTCCAGGTGAAAGTTCAAACCATGGCCAACACATTTTTTTTGTGACAATCAGTGATTGTATATGAAATGAAATGATGTTTAGAAAGAAATAGTCATGTTGTTTTGGTGTAGGAACTTGGTGATTGGCATTTTCTTTGCTCTTTTGAAAACGTCACTGTCCGGTAGGTATCAGAGTGTATGTGTTACTTACAAGGAAATTAAAATATCTTACTGTATACCTCATTGATTTGTCATTATATTATAAACACATATGCCCATGATCTACATAACATGTAGCTGTATTTCATTCCATCATTACCTTCAATTGATAATGTCAATAAAACAAACATATCATCAATCATTTTTTATCTACTCCTTTTCATTTCAAAATACTGTAACTTTGGTTTTGTGTTTCTAAATATTTTTGAATCATGGACTCTCACTTTTCCTGTACCTACATATAGCACTGTTGACCAAAAGTAACGAGAACCAATATACAATGTGCATCTCAAAGAAATATAATGGTACTCATCATTTGTTTGATAATAATGGTGATGTGTATTAACCTAAAGATGTCATTCATTTGAAAATCATTTTATTTTATGAAGATCAGATCGATTTGATGAAAATAAAATGAAAATCTTATAATTCACCTACAATGTGCCCTGTTTTTAATATATTAATTGATAAAAAATAGATATGAAATATCATCAAATGAGGATAACTGTTTGATTTTGTAGGTGATCATTGGTTATTTCCTCAAGCCTGCTATGATGATGTTGCTGATGTGACACCCTTACACAAGAATGAGGTTGTGGATATTGCCATTTCCAAATATACTCCAGCCTGGATGAATTTGAGGAAAAGTAACAAATATGGACAGTCATGTGATAGCAAACCTTGCCTAGAAAAGCACAGCATTACCTGCCAAAAAACATTTGATTTGTCTCAAATGTTGAAGAAAAATTTGAAGCTCTATGTCAAAGTGAAAGTGATGCCAGAGGTGTATTATTCATGCCCTTTTACATACTTGTTATATTCCGGAAATAGTTATCAACCGATTAAGGTACATAGAGCCAAACTCACTTTACTCAGTATAAACTACACACAAAATTTAAATACTTTCTCGACAATATAACAGTGCCATCATATTCAATATAATTCCACCCCAAATAAACAAGTATTACCACAACAAATATATCTGTATCACCACACCAAATATACCTGTATCTCTGCACCAAATATACCTGTATCTCTGCACCAAATAAACCTGTATCTCTACACCAAATATACCAGTATCACCACACCAAATATACCTGTATCTCTGCACCAAATATACCTGTATCTCTACACAAAATATACCAGTATCACCACACCAAATATACCAGTATCACCACACCAAATATACTTGTATTATCTTACAGAATATACCTGTATCACCACACCAAATATATCTGTATCACCACACCGAATATATCTGTATCACCACACCGAATATACCTGTATCACCACACCAAATATACCAGTATCACCACACCAAATATACTTGTATTATCTTACAGAATATACCTGTATCACCACACCAAATATATCTGTATCACCACACCGAATATATCTGTATCACCACACCGAATATACCTGTATCACCACACCAAATATACCAGTATCACCACACCAAATATACTTGTATTATCTTACAGAATATACCTGTATCACCACACCAAATATATCTGTATCACCACACCGAATATATCTGTATCACCACACCGAATATACCTGTATCACCGCACCAAATATACCTGTATCTCCACACCAAATATATCTGTATCACCACACCGAATATACCTGTATCACCACACCAAATATACCTGTATCTCCACACCAAATATACCTGTATCACCACACCAAATATTCCTGTATTATCATACAGAATATACCAGTTCATGCATCACCACTCGAGAAATAATTTCTGAACTAATCAATATAAAATGTTTAAATGAGGATATGAAATTTTAGTCTTGTTTATTGGTTACTTTTTATGTGTTTGTTTAATGGCATCTAATGAAATACACATAGTATGATAATATGAATTATTTCCCTGATAGATGAATTGTCAACAGATGTCTCAGATGAACGATTGGTCAACATATATCTCTGATGAATGCTTTGTCAACAGATGTGTCTGATAAACAATTTGTTAATAGATATCTTTGATAAATGATTTGTCAACAGATGTGTCAATGATTTGTCAACAGATGTCTCTGATCAATGATTTGTCAACAGATGTCTCTGATCAATGATTTGTCAACAGATGTCTCTGATGAACGATTTGTCAACAGATGTCTCTGATGAACGATTTGTCAACAGATGTCTCTGATCAATGATTTGTCAACAGATGTCTCTGATGAACGATTTGTCAACAGATGTCTCTGATCAATGATTTGTCAACAGATGTCTCTGATCAATGATTTGTCAACAGATGTGTCAGATGAACGGTTTGTCAACAGATGTCTCTGATCAATGATTTGTCAACAGATGTCTCTGATCAATGATTTGTCAACAGATGTCTCTGATCAATGATTTGTCAACAGATGTCTCTGATCAATGATTTGTCAACAGATGTCTCTGATGAACGATTTGTCAACAAATGTGTCTGATAAATGATTTGTCAACAGATGTGTCTGATGAACGATTTGTCAACAGATGTGTCTGATAAATTACTTGTCAACAAATGTCTTTGATGAACGATTGGTCAATAGATGTCTGATGAATGATTTGTTCACAGATTTCTCTGATAATTACTCTGTTACGTGTTACAGGAAATACCATGTTGGCAGATATTCAGTTCGTCTATCCATTGGCCAGATACAAATTTCACATTTGCAGTGAAGTTCAACACCCTTAAGATGGGCAGCTCCAGATACTTAAACATAACAAAAATATCTGTTCAAGTAGGCACCTGTCGGAATTGCTTCAAGATGGAAACTCAGATAGAAAGATTTGTTAAGGATACCACATGGCATGGTAATAAGGGTTATATGCACATGGCTAATAGAATCTTTTACCTGTATGTGTTAGAGATTTGTGTCTCAGTTGAGACCTGACATTCTGTAATAAAATCTGACATTACAGGATGCCAGCCTGAGATTGAGATAAATATGTCTTTTACATATACAGGAAATATATTAATTTTCTTGTACACTATTGTTTATTATCTGACGAGAAATAAAACTCTAGCACTGAGTAGTGTGTGAGATTTACTTTTATCGTGTACTAGAAATGTTGATAATTTATCTGTCTTATTGATTTTGGTCTGACTTTTCCTGGTGTCATCACTATTTAAAATAGATATTTATTTTCCTTTATTTAACCTATATTCTCTACATATTTGTACTCAAGTTGGAGACTTATAGGAAATGACACCTTTTTATCCTGGTATGTCTTGATTGTATCTGACAATTAAGAGAGTTTGTAGTACATACAAGCAGTTATGTGAATAAAACAGTATAAACTAACCTTTTTCATTTACATGTAACAAGACAGTCATCTTTTATACTGTAACATTTACACACACAACTTGAACTAATGATTCCTCATGAAATATTTCAGTACAATTACCTAGAGACTGCAGCATGAGAATGTGCCTTGAGTACAGACCATTCACTTACACCGTGTCAACGTATGGTGGCTCGTATAGGAATGAAGTGTCCAAGATTCCTTGTTATGTGACTTTTGAGATCATGGACCATAAACAAACGTCAAGAGTACGGACATGTCTAAAACTGTCCTGGGAAAAACACGGAGCTCTTCCTTATGAAAATAAATTACTGCTGGTACTAAAGATTGATGGTGTGACTTTCATGGTAAGTTTTTCCTGTAAAGCTTTGAACTTTCATGGTAAGTTTTTCCTGTAAAGCTTTGAACTTTCATGGTAAGTTTTTCCTTTAAAGTAATGGACTTTCATGGTAAGTTTTTCCTGTTAAGTTATGGACTTTCATGGTAAGTTTTCCTGTAAAGTAATGGACTTTCAAGGTAGGTTTTTCCTGTAATATTATGGACTTTCATGGTACGTTTTTCCTTTTAAGTTATGGACTTTCATGGTAAGTTTTCCTGTAAAGTAATGGACTTTCATGGTAAGTTTTTCCTGTTAAGTTATGGACTTTCATGGTAAGTTTTTCCTGTAAAGTAATGGACTTTCATGGTAGGTTTTTCCTGTTAAGTTATGGACTTTCATGGTAAGTTTTCCTGTAAAGTAATGGACTTTCATGGTACGTTTTTCCTGTAAAGTAATGGACTTTCATGGTAAGTTTTTCCTGTAATATTATGGACTTTCATGGTAAGTTTTCCTGTAAAGTAATGGACTTTCATGGTAAGTTTTTCCTGTAAAGTTATGGACTTTCATGGTAAGTTTTTCCTGTAAAGTTATGGACTTTCATGGTACGTTTTTCCTGTAAAGTAATGGACTTTCATGGTAAGTTTTTCCTTTAAGTTATGGACTTTCATGGTAAGTTTTTCCTGTAAAGTAATGGACTTTCATGGTAAGTTTTTCCTGTTAAGTTATGGACTTTCATGGTAAGTTTTTCCTGTAAAGTAATGGACTTTCATGGTAAGTTTTTCCTGTTAAGTTATGGACTTTCATGGTAAGTTTTCCTGTAAAGTAATGGACTTACATGGTACGTTTTTCCTGTAAAGTAATGGACTTTCATGGTAAGTTTTTCCTTTTAAGTTATGGACTTTCATGGTAAGTTTTCCTGTAAAGTAATGGACTTTCATGGTAAGTTTTTCCTGTAAAGTTATGGACTTTCATGGTAAGTTTTTCCTGTAAAGTTATGGACTTTCATGGTAGGTTTTTCCTGTAAAGTTATGGACTTTCATGGTAAGTTTTTCCTGTTAAGTTATGGACTTTCATGGTAAGTTTTTCCTGTTAAGTTATGGACTTTCATGGTAAGTTTTCCTGTAAAGTAATGGACTTTCATGGTACGTTTTTCCTTTTAAGTTATGGACTTTCATGGTAAGTTTTCCTGTAAAGTAATGGACTTTCATGGTAAGTTTTTCCTGTTAAGTTATGGACTTTCATAGTAAGTTTTTCCTGTAAAGTAATGGACTTTCATGGTAAGTTTTTCCTGTTAAGTTATGGACTTTCATGGTAAGTTTTCCTGTAAAGTAATGGACTTTCATGGTACGTTTTTCCTGTAAAGTAATGGACTTTCATGGTAAGTTTTTCCTGTAATATTATGGACTTTCATGGTAGGTATTTCCTGTAAAGTTATGGACTTTCATGGTAGGTTTTTCCTTTTAAGTTATGGACTTTCATGGTAAGTTTTCCTGTAAAGTTATGGACTTTCATGGTAGGTATTTCCTGTAAAGTTATGGACTTTCATGGTAAGTTTTTCCTGTAAAGTAATGGACTTTCATGGTAAGTTTTTCCTGTAAAGTTATGGACTTTCATGGTAAGTTTTCCTGTAAAGTTATGGACTTTCATGGTAGGTATTTCCTGTAAAGTTATGGACTTTCATGGTAAGTACTTCCTGTAAAGTAATGGACTTTCATGGTAGGTTTTTCCTGTAAAGTTATGGACTTTCATGGTAGGTTTTTCCTGTAAAGTTATGGACTTTCATGGTAGGTTTTTCCTGTAAAGTTATGGACTTTCATGGTAAGTTTTTCCTGTTAAGTTATGGACTTTCATGGTAAGTTTTTCCTGTAAAGTAATGGACTTTCATGGTAGGTTTTCCTGTATGGTACTGTTAAGTTATGGACTTTCATGGTAAGTTTTCTGTAAAGTAATGGACTTTCATGGTACGTTTTTCCTGTAAAAGTTATGGACTTTCATGTAAAGTAATGGACTTTCAAGTTTTTCCTGTCAAGTTATGGACTTTCATGGTAAGTTTTTCCTGTAAAGTAATGGACTTTCATGGTAGGTTTTTCCTGTAAAGTTATGGACTTTCATGGTAAGTTTTCCTGTAAAGTTATGGACTTTCATGGTAGGTATTTCCTGTAAAGTTATGGACTTTCATGGTAGGTTTTTCCTGTAAAGTAATGGACTTTCATGGTAAGTTTTTCCTGTTAAGTTATGGACTTTCATGGTACGTTCATGGTAGGTTCTTCCTGTACCTATGTGGGAATTGGAAAAATGTCTATGTTTTCCTCTGATTTGCAATGAAAAAATCAATGTAGATCTCCTGAAAATTTAATTTGTTCATTTAAGGTACTGTAAGTGTTGTACATTGTACAACCATGACAATTGTAAATCACTTCATTTAGCAGGAATTTAATTTCACAAAAGGGAAGTGACTGTCTTATTCATGAATACATGATTTAGATGCTCGCGAAGAAAGACGAAATATAATCCCTTGTGAAAAATAAGTGATTCGCAGTACCATGTTTCAAAAACAACTACCTTAAATGTGTGCTTGAAGTAATGATCAGTTTTTTCCTTCATGCATCCTAATGAATAAGCTGTGTCAGGTTTAACTGAATTAAGATCACTTTGGATACATTCAGCTTACTTTCTATCTGAAAGTTTCATTCTAAGGCTGATAATTGATAAATGCGTTTAACAGTGAGATATCAAACACTCAGAAGATATAGATGTTAAATGTAAGATTGTAAACATGATGTTATTAATGACATATTGGGTGATTTTCGTTTTAGGAATTTCATACTGGTATTCTTAACAATTTCTGGTGTCTGCCCGAAAACTGGCTGAGACAGAAGTCAACGGTGACTCTACTGTGGCAGGGATGTAAATATGATTGTTGTGAAAAAAACCCATGGAGACTTTATATCAAATCCAATATCACAGCTTTTCACTATTATCACATGTGTAACAGAAGTCCTTATAAGGAGAAGAATGCCACATATTTGTTCACAACAACAAGTATTATTCCAGGTAAGTCACACCAAACAGGTGTACACTAATACAAGTCATATTATTTTCCACTCCTCCAGGTATTTAAGCTGATGTTATGCAGACCTGTTGATTTGAACCCTGGAGTTGAAACTGATTTGCAATGATTAGACATTGTCAAAAGGCTCACGGAGATTTAAGGTTGAGATTTTCAATTAAGGGTCCACTGAGATTTAAGGCTGAGACTTTCACTTAAGGGTCCACTGAGGCTCTCAATTAAGGGTCCAGTGAGGCTCTCAATTAAGGGTCCACTGAGGCTCTCAATTAAGGGTCCACTGAGGCTCTCAATTAAGGGTCCACTGAGGCTCTCAATTAAGGGTCCACTGAGACTCTCAATTAAGGGTCCTCTCAATTAAGGGTCCACTGAGGCTCTCAATTAAGGGTCTACTGAGATTCTCAAGTGTCCCCTTAGATCCTTAAAGGAGATCATTTATACACTGTGTGATTACTAAGGGAGATAATTTATACACTATGTGACTACTAAGGGAGATAGTTTATATGCAGTGTGACTACTAAGGGAGATAGTTTATACACTATGTGACTACTAAGGGAGATAGTTTATACACTATGTGACTACTAAGGGAGATAGTTTATATGCAGTGTGACTACTAAGGGAGATAATTTATATACCGTGTAACTACTAAAGGAGATAGTTGATATGCAGTGTGACTACTAAGGGAGGTTAGTTATATACTGTGTGACTACTAAAGGAGCTAGTTGATATGCAGTGTGACTACTAAAGGAGGTTATTTATATACTGTGTGACTACTAAGGGAGGTAGTTTATATGCAGTGTGACTACAATGGGAGATAATTTATATACCGTGTGACTACTAAAGGAGATAGTTGATATGCAGTGTGACTACTAAGGGAGGTTATTTATATACTGTGTGACTACTTAGGGAGATAGTTTTTATGCAGTGACTATTAAGGGAGATAATTTTATACACTATGTGACTACTAAGGGAGATAGTTTATATGTAGTGTGATTACTAAGGGAGATAATTTATATACTGTGTGACTACTAAAGGAGATAGTTTATATGCAGTAACTACTAAGGGAGATGATTTATATTCGGTGTGACTACTAAGGGAGGTAATTTATACACTGTGACTACTAAGGGAGGTAATTTATACACTGTATAACTACTAAGGTAGATAATTTATACACAGTGTGACTACTGAGGGAGATGATTCAGGCACAATGTAACTTATAACAGAGATAATTGAATCCTTCACTTTCTATTCAGATGAGTTTGAAGTGACTGGTGCTATGGATCATCATGATCACTATTCAGGGGTTTTGGAGTGGACTATACTTCCAGCAAGTCTCTGTACTGCCTTTGTAACAATTATTAGCATAATTGTGGTGGTGTGTGTGATACGAAGAAGAAGGTTAAGGGCAACATCATCAACCAATCGGAACATACATCAAAGACCTCATAGTAGATGTCGCAGTAGACCTGTAAACAACACCACGTATTGTAAGAATAAGGACATTTCTTTGTTCTGTCTGTTTGACAATAATTAATTAGTATACCAATTGGTTACAGTTTTCCTGATAAGTCCCGAGCTGTCAGAGATTGGCCATGATAATTTCTATTTCTAGCACAAAAGCATCAGATGGTGGGCTTTTGAAATCGCGCTTTGTCCATGGTCTGTTTGTAAACAATTTTTGTTATCGCTATTTTTTGAAAAGTGCTGGATGGGTCTTTCTCAAATTTCATATATGGGTTCCCCTTGGTCCCTAGTTGTGTCTGTTTGATTTTGGGACTGATCAGAAAAACAAAATGGTCAACAGGTGGCCATCTTGGATTTTGACTGTGAAAATTGCATTCTTGAGAAACACTGGATGGATGTCTTAAATTTCATATGTAGGTTGATTTTGGGTCTGATCAGAAAAATAGAATGGTTGACAGGTGGCCATCTTGGAAGAATAGGGAAGAGAAATGAGGGAAAAGATCCAACTTTCAAATAAAATCATACAATGGTGGGCACTAAGATCCCTGTGGAATCCTTTGTAGATGGAGTAATATGTTTTCCTCTGTTTCGTAGGTTTAACACAAATGGAGGAACTAACCCCAGTAATTCCTACTTCATCAAACAACACTGACACAGTAACAACTGACCTCGACCCTCCTCCTCCCTATCCGGATGATGACATGGCTCCCCCTAGCTATTACGAGGTGTGTCGGTTTCTTCCAACACAATCATCAGGTGTGCAGAAATGACACTATGGATGTTCACAGATAATATGTACTTGTATTACGTATACACACCTGTAACACTGCACTGAAAGGGGATTCAAAACCGTCATGATGCTCCTCTAAACTCAACTCCAGCAGTGTACTTCAACTCAACATAATGATTAGACATCAGTTTCAGTGTTACATACTGTTAATGTTGTAATGTTGATATTTGTGAAAACCTTACCTTATTCTAAGAATAGAATGACTTTTTATGCCATTTCATGGTCTGAGACATACAATGTATAATGATAACCTTGGCAGCATTTTCTTATAATTTCATTTCTTCAATAACTCTTCAACAGATATAGAACTGTAATTTGATATATAGTTGTATATCATCATGGTGTGACCAAAATTTGAGAGTCTTGACTCATTCCAATGAGAATGAGTTAAAAAAAGAGGCAATTTTATTTGATTTTTTAATATTGATTGCAGAGGCTGGACCTCTGCTTTATTTCATATTTCATGTGTACATCTCTGAACACAGCCAATAACAATTAGAGCTCCAAACTTCTCTTTGGTTGCCAGCGAAGGCATTTGTATCACTCCCATGCATCTCGTTTAGTTAAGTAAAAGTCTCATATCTTACTTTTTGTAAGTGTATCAGGCATTCACGGTCTTTGAATTGAGGCAATACTACTCAGAATTATAGTTTTAAAGTCAATGAAGCCCTCACCGGCAACAACATATCTTTAACCATTTAATCATGATGCTTTAGATACATTTAACAGTTGAAAACATTCGTAAAGATTCAATTGTTAAACACAATGAAAAAATGAAGTAATGCATCAGAAATACGAAGTGAAGTAATATTTAGCAAACAGTAAGAAGACTAAGATCTAAGTACCTCTCATACCGGTATAAGAACTATTATTATAGTAGTAGGGATCCTGTTAAAATGTTAAGGATATTAAAACTAGATCAGGAGACACATCCTCTGTCAGTAGGAGATAGTTAAAAGGATATTAAGTTGTTTGTTGGAAGTCGAAAGTGGAGACTAGGTGACACGTCCTCTGTCAGTAGAAGTTCGCTAAGATGCTAAGATATTGGGTTGTCTGTTGGTAGTTGAAAGTAGAGACCAAGTGTCACGTCCTCTGTCAGTAGAAGTTCGCTAAGATGCTAAGATATTAAGTTGTCTGTTGGTAGTTGAAAGTAGAGACCAGGTGACACGTCCTCTGTCAGTAGAAGTTCGCTAAGATGCTAAGATATTAAGTTGTCTGTTGGTAGTTGAAAGTGGAGACCTGGTGACACGTCCTCTGTCAGTAGAAGTTCGCTAAGATGCTAAGATATTAAGTTGTCTGTTGGAAGTTGAAAGTGGAGACCAGGTGACAATTCCTCTGTCAGTAGAAGTTCGCTAAGATGCTAAGATATTAAGTTGTCTGTTGGTAGTTGAAAGTGGAGACCTGGTGACACGTCCTCTGTCAGTAGGAGCTAAGATATTAAGTTGTCTGTTGGAAGTTGAAAGTGGAGACCAGGTGACAATTCCTCTGTCAGTAGAAGTTCGCTAAGATGCTAAGATATTAAGTTGTCTGTTGGAAGTTGAAAGTGGAGACCAGGTGACACTCCCTCTGCCAGTAGGAGCTAAGATATTAAGTTGTCTGTTGGAAGTTGAAAGTGGAGACCAGGTGACACTCCCTCTGCCAGTAGGAGTTCACTAAGATGCTAAGATCAGGTGACACATCCTCTGTCAGTAGGAGTTAATTAATGGCTCTATTAGGGTAAGTACTCTGATAGAAGTTATATGGGTCTAGAATCAGTAAAATGAGGGTTTTTGTTTAATGGAGTTCATTTAATAGTATAGACATGAACCTGTTTTAGGGAATTCTATGAAGGACTATTTCCAATGCTGTTTTAAATACTACTCAATCTGATTATATATCTGTTGTCCTTATCCCTGACCCCACTCTGTGCCCTGCCCCTCTCTGCCCAACCTATGTCTGCCCCATCTCTTTCCGCCAAAATCCTCTCTACCCCAGCCCTCTTCTCCTGCTCTTCTCTGCTTCAGCTTTATCTGCCCTGCAACTCATTGCCATCTCCTTTGGTGCCCCATTCCTCTCTCCCCTGTCCCTTTCAACCCCAGCCCTCTCCACTACCCCCTCTCTACCCAAGTCCTCACTATCCTGCCTCACTCCTCCTTGCCACTCTCTGCCTCAGCCATCTCTAACCCTGCACTCTCTAATGCCATTTCCTCCCTGGCCTCCACTCAAGTCCTCTTCACTCTGGCCATCTCTGCCCCGTTCCCGGCCCTCCCCTTTCCAGCCCTTACTGCACCAGCCCTCTCAACCTGGCCCTTCTCTGCTCCCAGCCCTCTCCACCCTGCCCTTCTCTGCCACATTCCTTTCCACCCGGCCCTCCCCTTTCTAGCCCTCTCTGCACCAGCCCTCTCCACTCTGCCTTTCTCTGCCCCAGCCCTCTCCACCTTGCCTTCTGCTCCAATTCTCTCGACCCCGCCCCTCTCCACTTTCCAGCCCTCTATGCACCAACCCCTCTCTACCCCAGCCCTTGGCATTCTGCCCCATTCCACCTTGCTCCTCTATGCCCCAGTCCTCTCCTCCCTGAACCTCCACCCAAGTCCTCACCGGCTTGCCCCTCTCTGCCCCATCCCTCTTTGCCCAGCCTTCTCCACCCTGCCCTTCTCTGCTCGAGTCCTCTCCACCTGGACCTTTCTAACCCTCTCTGTACCAGCCCCATCTTCTCCACCCTATTGCACCCCATCTCTCTCCATCCCGATCCTCCCCCTGCCTTTCTCTGCTCAAGCTCTACAACCCAGCCCTATCTGTGCCAGCCCTCTCTTCCCCACCTCGCTCAACCCTGCCCCTCTCTGCCAAATATTTTCTGTCCCATTTCTCTTACCTTTTTTTGTACAGACCCATCTATACACCTTTATTTTTGCATGTTAAATGTATGATTTTACTATTTAACTGAAGCATACCCTCAGGATGTTTAACTATACATTTTAAGTGATATTACAAATACTACTTCCATAGGTGAATTTTTTTTTCATATCTGAATCATGTATTGATAGATATTTTGTTATCTGTCATAAATCCAAAGATCTGTGTTCTTAGGTTATATGCTTTCAAGATATGATGCTGGAAATCAATCTTTGATTTTTCCTGTTTTATTTTAATGAAATATGAAGAGACACATTTTTGTGTATGAAAATAAATTATCTATGTAATATTTTGATTTTAAAAGAAAAACTTCTGGAATTCAAAGCACTTCTTAAAGGTTTCTTTTTTATTAAGAATTTTACTTTTTTAATTGATGACTCTGTTGTATGGCAGGCATGTTCGAATAATGTTTTTGTGTCTGAATCTGATGAAATCTTGAAAATATATTATAAGTTATTCATTTACTTGTTTCAGTTACTTATTGTTTATGTGTTGAAATGATGTAAAATGTCTGTCTTTTACTTGACTAGTTTGTCTCTTGCCGGTGAAACTAGGAGACAAATTATGTTCTGTACGTTATGTTCTCTCTTACCAGTAAAACTGGGAGACATATTATGTTCTGTATGTTATGTTCTCCCTTACAAGTAAAACTGGGAGACATATTATGTTCTGTATGTTATGTTCTCCCTTACAAGTAAAACTGGGAGACATATTATGTTCTGTACGTTATGTTCTCCCTTACCAGTAAAACTGGGACACGTATTATGTTCTGTACGTTATGGTCTACCTTACAAGTAAAACTGGGACATGTATTATGTTCTGTACGTTATGGTCTACCTTACAAGTAAAACTGGGAGACACATTATGTTCTGTACGTTATGTTCTCCCTTACCAGTAAAACTGGGACACGTATTATGTTCTGTACGTTATGGTCTACCTTACAAGTAAAACTGGGACATGTATTATGTTCTGTACGTTATGGTCTACCTTACAAGTAAAACTGGGACATGTATTATGTTCTGTACGTTATGGTCTACCTTACAAGTAAAACTGGGACATGTATTATGTTCTGTACGTTATGGTCTACCTTACAAGTAAAACTGGGAGACATATTATGTTCTGTACGTTATGTTCTCCCTTACCAGTAAAACTGGGAGACATATTATGTTCTGTACGTTATGTTCTCTCTTACAAGTAAAACTGGGAGACATATAATGTTCTCCCTTACCAGTAAAACTAGGAGACACATTATGTTTTCAATGTTATGTTCTCCCTTACCAGTAAAACTGCATGTTCTGCACATTATGTTGTGTACTTGTCATTAGTCACAGTAATTGTTAGTGTCATGGTGTGGGAGTAGAAAAATTAATATCTATTGGTAATGTTACTCAGTGATTTTTTTTCAGTCATGTTATATATCTGATATCTTTCTTTGAAGTGTCTCGGAGATCAATCCATCAATAATTTATGATCTTACCACCAGTAACTACAAACACATAGACATTAAGTTCTGTTTCCTTTCTTGGTAAAGAGAAGCTTGAAATATATTAAGTTGAAACAAAGATAATTATGGAATGGTTGACTTTGTTGATCAGCCTCTAAATATACAATGATTGACTTTGTTGATATAAAACTCATGAAATCATTTGCTGACACAGAACCCATGCAGTGATTTACTTTGTTGATACAAATCTTCTCATCACAGAATTTACTTGGTTAATTCAGAATTATTTGTAAAAAGAAATGTTGTAGGCACCATAACCTGCTTTAACCTACATTTTTTGGGTCAAGGTCACTCTTTGGCCCTTGAATTTTTATCATCGCTTTGTTGTATTATTAAAGTGCCTTTTGTTGTTAAAATGACATGCATGTTGTTTTCAGAATTAATATTGTCTGTAGAGTGCTTTCAACAGTTCGGATTTATGCGTTCGTAAATAATAACATATAGATTTACAAATATAGAAGTTTCAGTAAAATGCAATTCTGTTTTCAAGTTTGGCTTTTGTTTTCAAGATTAATAAACAATACCAAATATCCCGTTGGAAAACTACAAATATTTTATAGACAAATGAACTTTTATACCAGCTCATTTTCATCCCTCTGGTTGGCTTAGAATAAAACTTGAGAAGGTTCTTACTGGGAAACCAGAGTAACCAGGGAAAACCCATATACTCAGCAGGTGAGAATGTCTTACCAACTACAACATTCGGCTACTCTACAAGCATATAAATCTTCCAAACAATTGTTGAAAATTTGGTACACATGTAAACTGGTACATACCACTGGACTGACACCGGGGTGACGACTCAATGTCCTGGTATATACTGTGACACAGGGGTGAAGACACAATGTCCTGGTACATACTGGTACATACTGTGACCCCAGGGTGACGACACAATGTCCTGGTATATACTGGTACATACTGTGACACAGAGGTGAAGACACAATGTCCTGGTATATACTGGTACATACTGTATCACAGGGGAGGAGACACAATGTCCTGGTATATACTGGTACATACTGTGACACAGGGGTGAAGACACAATGTCCTGGTATATACTGGTACATACTGTGACACAGGGGTGAAGACACAATGTTCTGGTATATACTCATACATACTGTGACACAGAGGTGAAGACACAATGTCCTGGTATATACTGGTACATACTGTGACACAGAGTTGAAGACACAATGTCCTGTTATATGTACTGGTACATACTGTGACACAGAGGTGAAGACACAATGTCCTGGTACATACTGGTACATACTGCGACCCCAGGGTGACGACACAATGTCCTGGTATATACTGGTACATACTGTGACACAGAGGTGAAGACACAATATCCTGGTATATACTGGTACATACTGTATCACAGGGGAGGAGACACAATGTCCTGGTATATACTGGTACATACTGTGACACAGGGGTGAAGACACAATGTCCTGGTATATACTGGTACATACTGTGACACAGGGGTGAAGACACAATGTCCTGGTATATACTGGTACATACTGTGACACAGAGTTGAAGACACAATGTCCTGTTATATGTACTGGTACATACTGTGACACAGAGGTGAAGACACAATGTCCTGGTATATACTGGTACATACCATTGGACTGTGACACAGGGGTGAAGACACATTGTCCTGTTATATATACTGGTACATACTGTGACACAGGGGTGAAGACACAATGTCCTGGTATATACTGGTACATACTGTGACACAGGGGTGAAGACACAATGTCCTGTTATATGTACTGGTACATACTGTGACACAGAGGTGAAGACACAATGTCCTGTTATATGTACTGGTACATACTGTGACACAGAGGTGAAGACACAATGTCCTGTTATATGTACTGGTACATACTGTGACACAGAGGTGAAGACACAATGTCCTGTTATATGTACTGGTACATACTGTGACACAGAGGTGAAGACACAATGTCCTGTTATATGTACTGGTACATACTGTGACACAGAGGTGAAGACACGTGTCCCTAAAAGTATGACTGATATCTGCAATTAAGCTTATTATTTTTAGATCTCTTTATCTGTTGTTTGCAACAAGTCCATGATTCCATTCCTAGCTAACACATAGAAATAATGACCTGTTACACATTTTCAAAAGAACTACCAGAAAATGCCAGACCATTGTCTTGTAAAAAGCTCCTCTCCCTACTCTGGGCCAGAGATAATGTTTTGTCCACAGGGGTCAATGGCATGATGAATATGGTAGTTAATTCAGCTGTCCTCCAAAACTTGAAAGTTCCTACACTAGCACATTACGATATACATGTGTACAAGATATTGTCTATAGTACACAGTCTTTCTTTTTTTCTCATTTTCTCCTTTCTTTCTGTTTCCCTTATTCTAGTTCTCTATTTGAATGGTTGTAAATGCTGTCATATAAAAAGTATAATGTGCTCCTAAGGGGAAGCCATTACTAAGTTTTAATAACTTGTACTAATTTGATTGTAATAAGACAATGAAATATGTTTGAATCAAAATAAACTGTAGTTGCTTCCTTGTCTAATTTGTCAGCGGCTACTTCAGAAATACTTCACCACGTGCAGCTTGAAATACATAGCATTTCTCTGTTGAGTCAAATCTATAAGGTGACGGTAATTTCTCTGTAAAGACCAAGTTCCTTGTGAATAGTGCCTGATTCTTGGTAGAGACAAATCTCTGCCAGTTGCTGGAGCGAATTCTCTGTAAACAAATCTCTTAAACAGGAAGCGCCAATTCCATTGTCAATAGAGCAACATTCCTTTTACATGCAGCCCCAAATTCGCTGTAACAAGAGACAAACCTCTTGTAAAGCCAGCGACATACTTCCTGTCGATATAGTCAAATGTCTCGAAGAGGCAGCGCCAAATTCTCTGGAGATGAACCCGATATTGTAGAGACGGTGCCAATTCATCGTAGACAAATCTTATCTTGTTGAAGTGGCGCCAAATTCACTTTAAAATCTCTTGAAGGGGTAACGCAAAATAGTTCCTTATTCGCTGCAGAGCAAAAGTGTCTTGTAATGACAAATGCCATGATGAGATAGCGCCAAAATTCCAAAAGAGCAAAGTCTGTAAGAGAATGTATGAGAGCAGTTCCAAAAGGTGATTGTTATCGCCCACTATATGGTACATTGTTACAAGTTACCAATCGTGTATAATACGAAACGTTCCAACTATCTACCAACGATTTGTTTGGTCGCGGTCGATAGGGTTTGCAACTAAAACAAAATAACATCACGGAGAGACAGACAGAATTTTTTATACTAACATAGTGCAGAAAGAGGCAAGGAATGGTAGGTAAGACAGACAAGTGAGAACAAAAATTGCACTAGAATTTACTAGTTGGCGCCTTCCATTAATGACCGGGTTCGCAACTAAAAAGGAACACTGTACGTGTTGATGGTAGAGAGCGTTAACACAGAAGCGTAACATGGACTGCAAATGGTGTCATTGGTGAAAAGGCACATGGCGACCAAACGACATTAACGAAATTTATTCGAATCCTGAGATTTACTTTCAAAAAGAACAAACTTGGAGATAATATTACATTCTATTACAAAGGCACATACATACTTCTATTGTATTACATTAATACACTTGAGTAGCAAGTGCAAGTTACGTTTTTAGATAGACACAGAATACTGATAAAGACAAATTATCTATGTAATCAGAAAAATCGATCGTTATTATGGTAACGTATTGTTGTTAGTTTCTACTCGCATAAATAATCATTACAAAACTTAGTTTTCTATCACAATAATGAAACTTAACACTTTTTATTGACGATCTGCAGCCTTACGGAAAGGCTACAATAGGGCCAGGTCCTTTGCTTTTCCAATGTCGACTAACGTCACCATATAGCCTAATAAAGGATGGGGAATTGTTTGGGATGTTCAGAAACCCCTACCCTTCACCTACTTTTCCGAGCCAACAAAAATAGATAATACAATGACAATACCCTTTTCAATATATCTTCCAGCTGAGGGAATTTTAGAAAGTTTTTACATGTGTGTGTGTGTGAGAGAGAGAGAGAGAGAGAGAGAGAGAGAGAGAGACCTGAAATTGACAGAGCGTGCTTCTTTATCAAGCCAGGGACCGGTTCTGTCCATCTGTCTGTCAGGACGAGAAGACATATCCGGACACTACTCACGAAGTTGTTATCAATTAAAGCTCATCAGTCCTTTGATCATTTTAAATGAAATTTAGTTACATGGTGTGATTTATCAAAACATATTTTTAAACACATCATGTATTTCCAGAAATGTTACCATGGAAACACAATTGATGCTTCTGATTGGTCGAAAGTTGAGATATTGTCCGTTACTGTTCCCCAAAGTCTCCTTAGTGAAATTTGGTTGCCATGGTAACTAAACAAAATCAGGTCACACATTATTTGTTTAATGGCCCACGAAAGCAAGTTGATAACGGAATGGTTCATATAGAAATTCAAAATATCGCTGGGACTTTATTCTAAATCAATTTATCATAAAATCTTTGCGGCATCTGCGGGCGGGGGTTGGATATAAGTAATCTTCGGTGTGACATTCCTAGTTGAATTGAACCTCTACAAGCATAATTAAATTGAATCTAGAGTTAATTCAATTAAACTACGTCCCGTGATATTAAGGTTAAGTGTTAAAACGTATCTTTTTTATACAAGCTGAGTGCTAATTTTTACCATGGACCAGTGACGGACTTAGAACAGATAGTTTAAAGTTGTAATACAAGTTTATTTACATATATACCGTACTTTACAGTACAGGTATTTAAAAGGTAGGTTGATGAATTTTTGTGATATCAAAAATATATTCCGACTGAATACCAAAATATTAACATATCCAAAGGCACCAGTTTTGATTTTTCAAAAGTGGCCTCCCTTCGAGGAAATCTTTTCTTCATATGACAAAATTGCAATGGCCGCCATGCGGGAAATCGCCGATGTAAAATCCTTCGAAGAAGTTTTAAATAGTTCAGGAAGGTTTGTTGAGCAAAGAATTAAGACTACTTTATTTAATTGACGTTGGCAAACATGGATGTCAAAGTATGTGTGTTCACTGTCAAATGGAGTCTTGATCACATTACATCAACGAGGACATTTTCTCCGTTTTAATATTCCGCCTGATAATTGTTTACATGTTGTTTGAAGTACTAGTGTGGACGTACCAGAGCCACGAAATCAACATTCTAAAAATAGCAATACACTTGAGAGCATATTACAATTAATTAGTAATGTTATGTTATAATCTAATGATATATATATATTTTGTTACTAAAAATAAAACGCACCCCATTTCATGATCACCTCTGCAGTTTTAGACATGAACAAAAACTTAGTTAGCGAAAAACATATTGAATCTGAAATATGAAAGTTACATTTTAGTCATATCATATTTGTAATTACCATTTTTTATTTAATCTGTGCATTTAGAATTAACCTTGTGTCATTTCATTTATACACTACATATTAAATGTTTATTTGGTCTCCTATGGCATTTGATTAATGTAACCAGCAGAAAAAAAACAACAGAGTCTCTGCTTCATTCTATAGTTTGATTCTTCTTTAATTTTAATTACATAGCATAATCTTTCTTCGCTTCACAATTAATCTCGCTGAGATGGACAAACAATCTTTTTCAATAGAAACTAACTATATATGAAAAATACAAGAATAAAATTCAGTAACTTCTGAGATTCAAACCTCGTCTATGACAATTAAAAATTTTACTGAATTGGAATTTCAACTGAAGTAATTGCAAGACAGCAAATTTCGCCTGTTATCATTAAGTTGCTCAAAGACAAGGCCATTTCGAAAAAGAAACCCATAAATTTTGCAGCAAAAAGGTTGTTTATTGAAAATTGAAATTAGATAGGTTTTGGATATGAATTGAGGGTTGTAGCTTTACACAACCCAGTCGCCCTGTCCTTAAATGTTATAGAGTGTTCTTATATTCTTGTGTAATCTGAATTGCCTACAGTAATAAAATGTCTCTAATCCTGAAATGATCCGAGATGACCATGATCAAGTTTTGTCCTTTTTGTGACTTTGTCTGAATTGCTGCCATCTTAAAGAACACATTTTAAACATTATCTCAAGTTCCACTGGTGCCATTAAGCTGAAAATTAGTGGAATTGTTAAAAGGACAAGAAGTCTTAAAGTATTGTGTAATTTTCTGCTTTCTGTACAATTGTACAATTCTGGTTAACATGATCCATCTATTTTAAACATCTTAAGTTCAATCCATGGAATTCAACTGAAACTTTCCTGTTATGATCAGGAGAAATCCTGACAAAAAGTTGTTATTTTTAGAGTCAGTTCAATCCAGTATGTCCAGTACTGCAATCTTTAAAATCACATTTTGAAACAAACTTCCTCTGCAGTTCCACTAGTGCAACTGAGTTCAAGTTTTGTGGGAAAATTAAGGAACTGAATCAAAGAAAGGGTTTTTTTTGTTTGTATTTTTTTTTGTCACCTTTACTGTAAAATTTTTTATACTGTTTTAATCAACTAATAATTGTTCCCACTACTACTAACACCACAGCTGTTATTACCATAAGTCATTGTAGTCACCATGAATCTCTTTTTATTGAGAATAATTTTGTGGCAGTCTTTGTTGGAAGTTCATTTCTGTAACTTTTATTTTTTCTTATTACAGCCAGCTGGTGGTTGCACATTTCTCAGCAGCATGGGCTCCTCAATGTAAGCAGATGAATGGGGTCCTAGAGGAGCTTAGTAAAGATACACAACTAGCCAAGTCTCTATTTCTTAAGGTAGTGACTTCATAATTATCATTTAAATAATTGTAATTTTGTGTTTTCTATCTCAGTTAATGTTTTTGATTACTTACAGTCATTATATTAGGCACATTTTTTATATAGTTTAACCTTGTACTTTCATATTGTATCCTTGTGTAGAGGAATGAGAAGGTGTTAAGTGCAGGTGTCAGGTACACACTGTTCAGAAAGTTTATCTAGCAACAGTAGTTCCCTGGTGAATTGCTGGGTGTCGGGTACACGCTGCTAAAAAAGTTGATGTAGAGACTGAGGGTCAGAGATCCAAGTCCTGGTCTGATTCAGTTCTCGTATCTTTCTTATTTATATGAATTTAACTTCACTTCCCGAGGAACACTATAATAAATATCCTTGAAAATACTGTATTTGTAAGAGAAATTTTGAATACAGCCATAGAGGTACCCCTATAACATAAGAGACTGGTGGTGGTACAATTCATTATCTAACATAATGATCATAGATCTCTAAAACTGTTGGAGTAACCCTTAAGAACACATAAATCTACATTAAGGACAGTTAATCTCAAATTTCAGATAGTGACCAATGAAATTGGTGTGATTTGATTGCATGTTGATTTGATTGTATGTTTACTCAGGGTTAATTATATTTATGTATTTTTTGTATTTTCAGGTAGAAGCAGAAGACCTTCCAGAATTGTCTGAAAAATATGAAATAGCAGCTGTACCAACCTTTATATTTTTCAAGGTAAATAGTCATGATTGATTGACAATGGCTTTTCATTTTACATTGCAAAAAAATTAGTCTTCTTCATCATGACCCCGACTTATGAATCTTTCTCTGAAAACCTTTCTTACATATGAAAGTAGTCTCCTCTATCATGATGCAGATCTATGAAACTTTCTTGGTGTTAAGGATTTTATAAACTGTCCAAAAAAAATAACACAAATATTTGAGGAGGATGTTTGTATCTGGTAAGCTTGAAATGTAGCGCATTTCTGTTTCAGAACAAGTCTAAGTTGGACCGGATTGATGGAGCAAATGCAGCAGAGTTAACTAAGAAAGTGAAAACTTTATCATCATTAACAAATGTCCCTGTACCTGATCAACAGCCTACCCAAAAACAGGTAATGATGATAACAAACTTATTATCATTAACAAATGTCCCTAATGATGATAACAAACTTATTATCATTAACAAATGTCCCTGTACCTGATCAACAGCCTACCCCAAAACAGGTAACAATGATAACAAACTTATTATCATTAACAAATGTCCCTGTACCTGATCAACGGCCTACCCCAAAACAGGTAATGATGATAACAAACTTATTATCATTAACAAATGTCCCTGTACCTGATCAACGGCCTACCCCAAAACAGGTAATGATGATAAAAAAACTAATGATCATTACCAAATGTCCCTGTACCTGATCAACAGCCTACCCCAAAACAGGTAATGATGATAAAAAAACTAATGATCATTACCAAATGTCCCTGTACCTGATCAACAGCCTACCCCAAAACAGGTAATGATGATAACAAACTTATTATCATTAACAAATGTCCCTGTACCTGATCAACGGCCTACCCCAAAACAGGTAATGATGATAAAAAAACTAATGATCATTACCAAATGTCCCTGTACCTGATCAACAGCCTACTCAAAAACAGGTAACAATGATGACAAAATCCAAGGATTTTAAAATAATGACCTTTGACCTTGCCCATCAGGCTGCTAGGGGCAGACACCCATAGTTTATTAAAGATATTGTTCCTCTTCCCCAAAGATGCTTCTTAAATATCTTCTCAATTATTTATTACTTTCTAGTATAACATAAGCTCATGGTTCTTTTGGAGCATGTCAGCTGAAAATAAAATCATTATTAACAAATGTGCCTTTACCCAATCAACGTCCTATTCCAAAACAGGTAACAATGTGAAAGCCATTCGTCATTATCCATTATGTCTGCATAATTAAATCTCAGTGCCATTCAAACATACTTAAATAAAACTTTTAATCAGATGTGTTAAATTTGATATGTTAGAGAACAAACATTGTTAATGTAAGGTTATTTATTCTGCTGTAGGACATTAATGAGAGACTGAAGATGCTCGTCAACTCTGCTCCTGTGATGGTCTTCATGAAGGGATTTCCAGATGAACCAAAATGCGGTAGGTCTTAAAAAATTAAATGTGTCTTTGGTGAAATGTAATATGTCTTAAAAGATAAATTTGTCTTTGGTGAGATGTAATAAAAAATTAAATGTGTCTTTGGTAAAATGTGATATGGCTTAAAAAATAAATGTGTCTTTGGTGAAATGTGTTATGTCTTAAAAGATAAATGTGTCTTTGGTTAAATGTGTTATGTCTCAAAAGATAAATGTGTCTTTGGTGAAGTTTGATATTTCTTTGGTTAACCTTTGATCTTTTTGGTTGGTATTCACAACAAGGGCTTTGCTGACATAGACCATACATGTATAAGAAAACACTTTATCATTGAAATAGACCAAAATCTGGTAATAAGAGATTATCATGTGACATCGGTAGTTATTGTATGTGACCTGAAGATAATTTACTATTTCAGGATTTAGCCGACAGTTGGTACAAATCCTTAATGAGAGGAATGTTAAGTTCAGCTCATTTGACATCTTGGGGGATGATGAAGTACGGCAAGGTAAGGAAATTAATTTTGTTGTCCTGTAATAAAGCCACTGTTATACATGTACATTGGAACTTTTTTTCAGGTTTTTAATGTCAGCAGAAGTTCTTATAACATAACCAGTAGAAGATTTGAATGTTACATTTCAATAACTACATGGTCACCTTCAAACAAAGTGTAGCTGAATTGATTACCGTACATTATGACCATTCTGTGTATTTTTGTGTCTGTAATCTGTTTACCATCTCGTCATCAACCTTTTTTTTCACCTTAGTGTAAGAGGATTAGAGTACAGCCGAAAAAGTTGGTTGATTCTTGTACACTACATATGTCATTGCTAGTACGCTCCACATTTATCATTTGTTTGATGAAGGTGACCATGTAGTCATCAAAACATCACTCTCAAATCTTCTACTGGTTGTGATATAAGATGACAATGACCATGTAGTCATCAAAACATCACTCTCAAATCTTCTGCTGGTTGTGTTATAAGATGACGATGACCATGTAGTCATCAAAACATCACTCTCAAATCTTCTGCTGGTTTTGTTATAAGATGATGATGACCATGTAGTCATCAAAACATCACAATCTAATCTTCTACTGGCTGTGTTATAGGAACACTATTCAACCAACGTCTATGTATGTGATGTTGATTTATACATGGATACCAGTATATTAACATGTACAAAATGTCTTTGCCATAAACAAGCCAAACCAGAACAACCACAAAATACTTGTCTTGTGAAATGAACGAACTATAAATTTGAAGTGTTTGTTCACTAGGCCAATACTGTATTACCAGACATGATGTTGAAAAAATCTCTGTTCATAGAATATTAACATGATATGAAATATAACATATAAGCTGCTTTGCTTTGTTTATAGGTTTAAAGAAATATTCAAACTGGCCAACATATCCTCAACTGTATGTCAGTGGTGATCTTCTTGGAGGACTTGACATCATCAAGGAACTCATAGAGTCTGGCGAGTTTGAGTCTCAACTTCCTGAACAAGTTCAACTAGAAGACAGGTATATCTGGATAGTGCAAAATGTTACAGTTATCCTTATTGATACAACCATGTAACCACTGATAATGTGTGCTGTATAGTTAGAGGTAAAGATTGATTTGAACCTTTTTGCATGCATGATGAGTTTTAATTTATCATCAAATCAGGATCACACCAAACATGTCTTATCCTTTGTAATTCTCAGATTAAAGTCCTTGATCAAAAAAGCACCTGTGATGTTGTTTATGAAAGGAGATCGGCATGTTCCCAAGTGTGGATTTAGTCGCCAGGTGATCACGTTGCTAGGAGAAACAGGGTAGGTACTTATCAGTTGACTTGATTTGAATGTTATTGTGGTGTAATATAAAAATTCTATATAGTATATGTAGTATGTTACAACATTAGATTTTTATTATCAGCTTTGAGATATCACTATGTCCTAGAGGCAGATTAAGTGTTCCTTGCCTAATTATTGAAACTACTGAACCTGCGAATACAAATATAGGTGATCAACACATGTTATTAAGATTATCATTGGAAAAATCTTACCTGTTTCTAAGGGAATATTTCTATATTTTCTTAATTCAAACATGCACAGACTAACAACATTCAGGTAGAAACTCAAATAATCCTAACTTTGATGTTTAATGAATGACAATGATTTCCTATGTTGTTACCCACATTTACAGAGTTCAGTATGAGACATTCGACATACTGGCAGATGATGAAGTACGGCAAGGATTAAAAAAGTTTTCAAACTGGCCAACATATCCACAGCTTTATGTAAATGGAGAACTGGTTGGTGGTCTTGACATTCTCCAGGTAAGGCTTTGTAGAGGTAGTACTGTTAAGAATACATGTACATATGTATCATAAATGTAACAGTTATTTTATATTATCTTCTTTCCTGAATGGTAAAATGATAATTAACATCTCATTTGGATAATATTTCATTTTCAAATTTTATCAAAATATCAAATTTTTTAGCCTTACTTACTACTTATGGATTAGATTAATTACAAAATAATTGTTTGAAGTCCAAAATATTTTTCCTTATTTCATTAAGTATGCTGATAATTGTTCTTTTTGTGTTTGTAGCAATTAAAAGAATCTGGAGAACTAGAGACTATATTAAAGGAAGGACAATAGACTTGATAGTGACAACAGTGTAGATAGCTGTGAATGGCAGAGATGAAATAATCATTGTGGGAGGGAAGAGGCGGGGGAAAGTGGTGGGATACCTTAAACAACAGGGTGTGTTTGGGATGGGGATGGGGTTGCTTCATGTGTCTCAAGTTTAATATCAATATTTACATCTACACAATACTACTATTGCATTTTTTAAAAACTTTGTTAATGTTGGATAATGATTGAAGCAAGATCATTATCTGTGTCTACATTAACACTGTGTACTTGTACCAGGGCCCTGTGTTACTATCAGGCTGTCCTATCAGAATGACAGTTACCTCTGTCTACATTAACACTGTGTACTTGTATCAGGGCCCTGTGTTACTATCAGGCTGTCCTATAAGAATGACAGTTACCTCTGTCTACATTAACACTGTGTACTTGTATCAGGACCCTGTGTTATTATCAGACTGTCCTATAAGAATGACAGTTACCTCTGTCTATACTAACACTGTAATTGTACCAGGGCCCTGTGTTATTATCAGACTGTCCTATAAGAATGACAGTTACCTCTGTCTATACTAACACTGTAATTGTACCAGGGCCCTGTGTTACTATCAGACTGTACTATAAGAATGACAGTTACATCTGTCTACATTAACACTGTGTACTTGTATCAGGACCCTGTGTTATTATCAGACTGTCCTATAAGAATGACAGTTACCTCTGTCTATACTAACACTGTAATTGTACCAGGGCCCTGTGTTACTATCAGACTGTACTATAAGAATGACAGTTACATCTGTCTACATTAACACTGTGTAATTGTATCAGGACCCTGTGTTATTATCAGACTGTACTATAAGAATGACAGTTACATCTGTCTATACTAACACTGTAATTGTACCAGGGCCCTGTGTTACTATCAGACTGTACTATAAGAATGACAGTTACCTCTGTCTATACTAGCACTGTAATTGTACCAGGGCCCTGTGTTACTATCAGACTGTACTATAAGAATGACAGTTACATCTGTCTACACTAACACTGTGTACTATGAATACCAGGTCCCTGTGTTACTATCAGACTGTACTATAAGAATGACAGTTACCTCTGTCTATACTAACACTGTAATTGTACCAGGGCCCTGTGTTACTATCAGACTGTACTATAAGAATGACAGTTACATCTGTCTATACTAACACTGTAATTGTACCAGGGCCCTGTGTTACTATCAGACTGTACTATAAGAATGACAGTTACATCTGTCTACATTAACACTGTGTACTTGTACCAGGGCCCTGTGTTATTATCAGACTATCCTATAAGAATGATCATTATTCTGTCTATACTAACACTGTAATTGTACCAGGGCCCTGTGTTACTATCACCTTTGTGATGTAGTCTTGTATGAATTAGGATGGAAACATTAGACTAACACAACTTTTCACATGTTAGAAGTGTGCTTTCATCAAAGAGAATCAAGCCTACAAAGTAGTTTTTACTTGCCATTATCCTTGAAATGTTTAAACCTTTCGTGTTTAATTTATTTAGATATTCACTTGTAGCATGCATCATAAGTTCGGAACTGAAAGTATCAGAATAAACAGATGGCTTGGAATTAAGAGACAGACGTTGTGTAATGCTATGACATGCAATTTATTTTTAGCTTTGTGGTGAATTCTACAGACTGATAATATTTATACACCACCTGCTCATTAACTACATTAAGGATATAATAATTATTAATGTCCAATTTTGAGACTTTGCCAAGTTTTTGACATTTAAGAATCTCACCTCACAGGTGGGGATTTCTTTGTTACTCTCCAGGACATGGAGGGGATGTCACATGTAATATATACCCTTAATGTAGAAGTTTTTTGATGTTTTGAATCTGCTGTTTTCTAACTAACCTATTGTACATTGTACCATATGTTTGCTATTGTTAATTCTTTTTATCAGTATTTTGGTAGGTTTGTGTATATAATTGTTGGCTTACACATGGTGACCTGTTGCTATCCATCATATTTGCTGTCCAATTACCAGTAAATCTATTCAAGGTCATAGGTTTCAAACATGTCCCTATCTGTAAATGGCTTTTGAAATTTTGAACTGTTACATCTATAGGTAGTAAGGATTTTGTTTAAATAGATGGCTTTGACCTTCATTTTTGTCCACAGGAATTACAATAAATAACTTAAGAATACGCAATCATAAAATCTATGGCGAGGACATCTAGTCAGTCCCAAACAAGAATGGTGTGTTACTACCTACCTAGGATATCTACTCAATTATCCTGAATGATTACATGTGAATTATATTATATCTGACAAAATATGAACAGAAGAACAATAGAGGAGTGGAATGATGTTATGGAAAATCATCTTGGTTGTTTTTGAGGAAGTGGTTAAAATGGTTGGACTGCCTGAACACTGGGGCTGGACTGCGGAATAATTGGCACATGCAGTATTAACGGGCAAGTTGTTTGTCTGGAACTGACTGAATATCACACGTTTTCTGAATTTCTGTAGGGTCTAGATATGTGATATTCAGTATGGAACATATCCTATTGTTAGTCAATAGTTTTGTTTGACACGAAATTTTGAAACTGCATTTTGAGCTTTACAATGAAACAATTATCATGAAACAGTTTCCAGTCGCCTTAACTGTTCCAACATGGGTACACAAAGTAGCCTTTGTCCTCAAGATATAGCAATAAACCATGCACACATTTCTCTATCACAGCTGGGGACTGATCCAGAATTCTTGAAAGAGTAAGTGCTCAAAGCAGGTTTTAGTGGAAGTCTGAGCTGGTTGTTTCTTTTTCTCAGGTAAACTAAAGATATTGGCAGCAGTTTTAAGGTTGGCCCTGTAAGCTGTTCAAGTTTGATAATCCACTTAGTGCATTATATACATCTCAACAATTCAGGATTAGTACAAAATGGCCCGCAATGTCAAGTCATTGTGATGTTAGATCTTTGTAGACTGGAATTCTGACTGTTTGATACTCTACTGAATAAAATTGTTTAAATGTTGTCAGTCTTGTTCCCAGAATTTGTAATTCAATGACATAAATGGAACTCTAAGAATTGCTCTCTGATACACCTCTAACACAATGTAAATTGTTGGATAATTTTCACAAAATAAATTCTCATTATCAAAGTATAAATGATTTGCGTGTGTTTATGCCTAGGGGTATAATGGAACAGTATAAGGTTTGTCATGGCTTGTTGGTACCTACATAGTTGTGAAATTTCACATCCAAAAGGATACCATATTTGGCACTTGAAACAACTTGCAGTACCTCTGTGTTGTTTTGGTGTAAGGGAAAGCCTTTGTTACTGAAGTGTTTGGATATCTGTTTTTTTGTTTCAGTGTTTAGGATCTCCTTTAATATTTCAGTGAATGTAACACAATTATCATTCAGTGTTAGGGAACCTCTGTTATATTGTTTTTTGGGAACACCCTTGTTGTTTGATGTTAGGAACTCCTCCATGGTTTTAGTGCTTGGGAACTCCCTTGTCTTTCTTATGTTGAAAACCCTTTTGTTCTTTTGGGTTTTAGGAAACCTCTTTTCCTTTGGGTGTTTGGAGACCACCTTGAAGTTGTTAAGCTATTTGGGAAATCCTATGTTTTGTTGTTTGGGGACTCTTTTGATGGCCCTATAGTGGAATCAGACATAAATCTTTTAAATAGTTTTCATTTAGTTTATATGCAAATCAAATACAAGCCCTACAGGATTATTGTTATTTATTGATAAATATAAAAATAAGATAAATCTGGATTTTCTTTTTTTATTTGCTTCATTACAGTGTACATAAAATGCATGTATATTGTATAAAACAAAGTTATGATCATTGTGTGTTAGAGATAAAGCATATGTAATTCCACAAAGCTGAAATCAGTTTATTCCATAAAGCATTTTATACTTCTTGGCTATAGAAACAGTTGGTAGATGTGGTAGATTTCCACTGCATATATTTCAGTAAACACTTAGATTTGTACAGTAGAGTTGAACTGTAGATTATATATAGCAGTGTGTTACAGATACAGCATATGTAATTCCACAAAGCTTAAATCAATTTATTCCATAAAGCATTTTATACTTCTTGGCTATAGAAACAGTTGGTAGATGTGGTAGATTTCCACTGCATATATTTCAGTAAACACTTAGATTTGTACAATAGAGTTGAACTGTAGATTATATATAGCAGTGTGTTACAGATACAGCATATGCAATTCCACAAAGCTTAAATAAGTTTATTCCATAAAGCATTTTATACTTCTTGGCTATAGAAACAGTTGGTAGATGTGGTAGATTTTCACTGCATATATTTCAGTAAACACTTAGATTTGTACAATAGAGTTGAACTGTAGATTATATATAGCAGTGTGTTACAGATACAGCATATGTAATTCCACAAAGCTTAAAATAAGTTTATTCCATAAAGCATTTTATACTTCTTGGCTATAGAAACAGTTGGTCGAAGTGGTAGATTTCCAGTGGATATATTTCAGTAAACACTTAGATTTGTACAGTAGAGTTGAACTGTAGATTATATATAGCAGTGTCAAGAATTCCTTTGTGGGTGTTACCTGCGTGACCTAGAGTAGAGAAATAACACAGAGACAGATGCATCTTCATTAGAAGAAATATTTCAGATAAACTTTAAATCAAAATGACACTTTGATATTTTCACTATGTTAACCTTTTTCGAAAGTTTTATCAAGATCAAAACAAAATTGAAATAAAACTGCATTTAATGGCAAAGACAAAAAATCTTTGGATAATGAAACTGATGGCAGAGACAACCTGACATAGACATACCTATCTATGTTTTGCCTTAACATGTGAAAAAAAGCACAAAATAGCTACTGTCTTAATGCAGTACATGTCACATAATCACATCTTAAAACATCTATGAATGATATAATTACATTCTGAAGGCTAAACATCAAATTTCTAAATCAGATTTTGACAACAAAAGCACATTTTGGAATTGATAATAAATATATAACAAGATGATAATCACAAAAAAATCTTAAAATAACATGATATATATTAGCAAATAATTAATGGACAATATAACAATAATGTAATGGACGATAAAACAACATTGTATAACACTATTTATCCAGCAATCAGCCCATGTGTTACCACCCTGAAATCCTGTCACAAACCCCCTCCCCCACCCACCAGACTTTGAGTAAGAAGTAATGTGATGCCACCTGGGCTTATTACAGGATAAATACGGTTATCTGCGTGCCTTTAAGAAATGATAACAACGATCACTAATCCATAAAATTCATGAATTACTTTGAGCACATATTGAATTTATCTAGGAGTTTGGATTATTTCAACTTGTCGAGTTTTCAACAAATAATTTCAATACATAAATATTAATGTTTCAGAACTATATACGGTATGATGGAAGGAGTAAAGAAAATCATTCTGCCCTTGCTAGGCCTCAAACTTATTGTCTTGAGAACATCCTACCACAAGGCTAAAAGGAAATTCTATAAAGAACAAGGATTTAAAGCAGTTGTAATATTATGTACAATGAAAAATACTATACCAAAAGTAATTAAACATGTCTATATTTCTAAATGTCACTTCCATGCTTCAACCTCTGTTGATACACTCTGTGTTTCATAACTATATTCAACGATTCTTGTTAGAGATCTACGTTGATCTATTTCAAGTTATTTTTCAACCAAGAAGTACATGAAGTCACATTAAGTCTGATTATGACCACAACACTTTAATTAAGTTAAGAAAACTGCTTTTGCAAGATTACTTATGAATAACACCTGATATATTTCATTGAAACAAACACAATTAATCACAACAGCATTTATGTTACATATTTATATGTAGAGAAATTAAACATTATACCTACATGTAACTTTGGGCAGATGTTTAGATGAGAAGGAAACCACGGAATAAGTAAATCTCAGTCACACATTTGTTGCAGTTATGCTATTGTAAACTGGAAAGTTAACATTGGATGGTGAAATTTCAACACAGAAGACAGCAGACTTTAGAGTGAAAATATATATATAAGAAATGGGTTTACATGACTTGTATAAGGACCTTGACAAACCACTTTCTACCTCTCTTGATTGTCAAGCTGATTACTATAACACCTGAGAGAGTAAAACAAATGGAATGTTGACTAGTTAGCAACATGCATGCAAATCATTGCTACAAGCAATATACAAAACTGACATAAGTGGAAAACATTTTAAAGCTATGAAGACTATATTTCTTATTGAAATAGACACCATGAACAAATTAACAAATGTAAAATGTTACATCTGTTTGTAATCCAGAGTTATCTGCTCTTATTAGCAGGTATAACATTTGTCTGTGTGAGAAAATTATCATTTTTTTTCACAAATTTTTATGATGTTACTCTCTTAAAGAAATAATGAAACAATCAATACCTGCTAACAAGAGCAGATAACTCTGCATTAAGTAAAGACAGAATTACCTAACATTTGTTTTCCCGTTGAAATTTAGGACACAATATACAACAATTTCAACATTTACCATCCAAACTGAAACATATGTAATGTTGATTGACATTTAATATATAAAATAGCTACCTACATTATTCACTCAGTAAAATCAATATTAATGCTTGATTATCTTGAAACATTTAAAAAATTACTTGCAAATGTTCAAAATTTTTTGATATGGAATTTATGTTCTCTGTACCACTTTAACACAACAGTATTTTACAATTTGTTGACAAAGTCTGCAAACAAGCACCATTTGTGAATGGCAACTAGCAACTGAAGTATGGGTAATCCTAAAAATGAATTCTGTTGCTAGGCAACACTACGATAATGACAATGTCATGAATCAGTTATTATAATCTTGTAATATGTCTATCATGAAAATATTTTAAATGGATTTCACAAACATTATTACCCTCAAGCAAACAAAGATTTATAACATTGGAGGGTTAGTGTCAGAACTAACCTTTCAAAAAACAAACTATGACATGTTTTTATATTTACCCTCCATTGTGTGACATCACATACATGAAACCCTATTTACCATGTATCACAGACATACAATTCCACCTTTTTTATCACCCTTTCATTACCTGAGTGTAAAATGACGTTTTAAGCATAATGACAACAAATAAATATATACTACAATAATTGCTACAAAATTTTTTTGTCATTTTACCAGCAGCTTCTTATCTTAAAAATCAGCAAACATGTTAGGTTTCTCCATAATTTTCTTTTAAAGATACAGTCATCATTTTATTCCATACTCAAAAATTGCAAGAGCTATTATTGTACAACTCCTTGACACCACCTGTGAACAAGAAACTGATTTTTCAATTAATTAACTACAAGGTTGATTATGTATCAAGTCAATATTTTTTCCAATGTATTACCAATTTATTTACTTGATCATGTGCAAATTTTACAATTTGGTGTCAAAAACGGAAACACAGTGGTATTTAATTTTAACCAAGTCACATTGCAGGATATAAAATTGTATATGTCAATTTTGGTATAATGTGTTACTTTCTCAATTTTCAATTTTTGCCACTTTACAGACACTGGTGAAAAGAAGACATCGGTGAAAAGTAGACACTTGCTGAAAGTAGACACTAGTGAAAAGTTGACATCAGCAAAACATAGACATTGGTGAAAAAATACCTGTTACATAGTATCTATCATATAAATACCTGTTACATAGTATCTATCATATAAATACCTGTTACATAGTATCTATCATATAAATACATGTTACATAGTATCTATCATATAAATACATGTTACATAGTATCTATCATATAAATACCTGTTACATAGTATCTATCATATAAATACCTGTTACATAGTATCTATCATATAAATACATGTTACATAGTATCTATCATATAAATACCTGTTACATAGTATCTATCATATAAATACATGTTACATAGTATCTATCATATAAATACCTGTTACATAGTATCTATCATATAAATACCTGTTACATAGTATCTATCATATAAATACCTGTTACATAGTATCTATCATATAAATACATGTTACATAGTATCTATCATATAAATACCTGTTACATAGTATCTATCATATAAATACCTGTTACATAGTATCTATCATATAAATACCTGTTACATAGTATCTATCATATAAATACCTGTTACATAGTATCTATCATATAATAAGTGTATCTGTCCAACAGGTAGATCTTCATTCAATATTGAGAGGTGGATAGAGCCTTCAGCATTAAAAACATGTGCTTTATCAAATTGTCAATTAAAACTTTTGATGACATCTAGGAAGACCAAAAACAACAAGAGGGCTACCAGCCTTGATGGTCACCTGAGATAGGCAATATTGAATATAAAGGTAAAGGATAGTTATCAAGTGTCATGAAACAGAAATTGTGACAATGAATATAGTAAGCCCCCGAGGGGTCAGTCAGGATCAAAATGGGCATATCATCAGTCTGTCACCCTTCACTTATAATTCTAATAAAGTTTGAAATATTTCCAATGGAAATTAAACAAATTATGCTAAAAAAACAAATTTTCCTAAATATATAGTAAAATTTACCCCCTCCCCACGGGGAAATGTGAGATCCTGGGGCCATGAAATTCACAATTTTGGTAAAGCACCTTAAGATGCTTCCATCTATGAAGAGTATTTGATTCTACCATATCTGGGGCTCGAGAAGAACATTTTTGAAATTCAAGACAACTTGACCCCTTTTCGCCCCGCTCCAAGGCCCCTAGGGGTGGGGACTGTATAATTCACAATTTTGGCCACGGAACGTTTCTGCAAAATTTCATTGAAATCAGTACGGGGTTTTTGAGAAGAAATCAAAAGTGTTAAATTGTTTACGGACGTACGACGCATGATACCTGATGAAGGGTATTAGAGTAGGTCACCACGAGACTTTGTCTCAGGTGACCTAAAAACTGATAACATCTTTTCATAATATGAAAAGGGGAGAAGTTTTCACCTCCTGTGGATTTATCTACATCTGTGGAGAAAATGGGGAGTTGTAAATCAATTAAGCAACCATGAATAAAAGCGCAGTTAAGACTAGATCAGAATTACAAAAGTACAATTACACATGACAAACGATATTACTTATCACATGTATCACTTTGTTCTGTTGGTAGAATATGTAGATTAACATTACTTTATCTTTTTTACAATCTGAAGTGAAGTGAAATTATTCTCTGAAAAATTTAGTCAACACCTGCTTCATAAAAAAAAAACAAAAAATACCTTGTCACCAAAAATATATCATAGATTTTAAATATAGCAGCCATTGATCATATGATATTGTACTTTTTCATCCCAATGAGAACTTTTATTACTACTTTCACATCAATAGTATGTTCTGGTAAGGGAGATTAAGTAACCCTTCCTTATAACTTTCTATTCCTGACAAGCCCTTTAAGGATTATCTACTGTAGAATCATGAACAAGAAATGTTGACAAGTCAAATCGGCAGCACACTTACAATGGTCCATGTTAACAATCAATAATTAATTATCTAATAACATTATCAGTCCTTCGTAACACTTCTTTGTCTAATATCACCAAAATCCGAATTAAAGGATGGAAAGATTTTTTCATCGTGTTTTGAACCGATTCGTTTTTCACTGAGAACAGTTTCCCTGTCAGTGTCAGGTTTATTTGTAGTATTTTCATCAGAAGTTACAAAGCCTTCAGAGAAAGTCACATTTTTATTTACAGACTCAGGTTTGGTTAAGATCTGGTATGGTGAATTCTTTGTATCTAATGAACAAACATTAATATCTGTTTCACTTTTACTGCGTGGACTTTTGCCATTTTCTACCTCCTTCTGATAACCAGTGCCAACAGCAGTTGTCTCCATAGAGGAGAACTCTCCTGTGTGTGAGATCTGTAAGTGCTGGTCCGATTTTGACCTGTGTATAGGAGACAAGGAGGGAACATCCTTGTATTTATCATCTGAAGCAACTGGTTTTACACTGGTTGTCATCTCAGTAGCCTGGCCCAGCAGGATGATACTGTTCAGTATCTTAAATGTTAGCAGACTGTGAACAAAACAAAAGTTGCATTTGTCAGATATTTAAAAAAAAAACTCACTTGAATATGAAAAATGACCAAATAGTATAGAATGGAACCAAAGCTGACTCACTAGGGCTAGAGATGTAGAATAATATTCCTTCTATGTTGTGCCAATATGATACTTTGTAATTTGGTTCATATTTGCAGGGAATAAAACATTCTGTCAAAAACATTTGTTGAAAAAAGAAACTAATTGAATTTGTTTTCAAAATTGTAAGAATGATAATAAATAGGATTTGTGTTTATAAAGCCTGCCATTTAATGATGTCCTTTCCAACAGCATTAAATGAAACTCTGATACCTGCTAAATAGATCTAAAACTACAGCTGTTAAATGACACACATCCAGCAAAGAAATGTTGATCTAGAGGACATGACACTGACTTACCACAAAAACAGGAGGAATACCACAAGAATGCCAATTGTACCAGTAACCTTGAATGATTTTGTACAGATCCTCACCAGGAGACAGGCAAGTGGGAGGGGTGTAAATCCCATTCTTCTAGCCACCATGTCAGAGTAGTCTATATAGGCCTAGAGAATAATAGAGAATATACACTTAGTCTATTTAAGCATTAAGAATAAGACAGAATATACAATGCCTCTATATATGCTTGGAGAATAAAAGAGAATGCACAATAATTCCATATATGCTAACAGAACAAAATTAGAGTATACAGTCAGTATCTACAAGCCTAGAGAACAAAAGAGAGTATATGGTCAGATAGAGAATATACAGTTTGTCTACATAGGCCTAGAGAATAACAGAGAATACAATGATTCATATAGAGAATTTCTATATATAAATACATGATTCTATATAAGAATAATAGAGAATATACAATGATTAGGCCTAGAGAATAATAGAGAATATACAGTGATTCTATATAGGTCTAAAGAATAATAGAGAATATACAATGATTCTATATAGGCCTAGAGAATAATTACAGAGAATATACAATGATTCTATATAGGCCTAAAGAATAATAGAGAATATACAATGATTCTATATAGGCCTAGAGAATAATTACAGAGAATATACAATGATTCTATATAGGCCTAGAGAATAATTACAGAGAATATACAGTGATTCTATATAGGCCTAGAGAATAATAGAGAATATACAATGATTCTATATAGGTCTAGAGAATAATAGAGAATATACAATGATTCTATGTAGGTCTAGAGAATAATAGAGAATATACAATGATTCTATGTAGGTCTAGAGAATAATAGAGAATATACAATGATTCTATATAGGCCTAGAGAATAATAGAGAATACACAGTGATTCTATATAGGTCTAGAGAATAATTACAGAGAATATACAATGATCTATATAGGCCTAGAGAATAATAGAGAATATGATTCTATATAGGCCTAGAGAATAATTACAGAGAATATACAATGATTCTATATAGGTCTAGAGAATAATTACAGAGAATATACAGTGATTCTATATAGGCCTAGAGAATAATTACAGAGAATATACAATGATTCTATATAGGTCTAGAGAATAATTACAGAGAATATACAATGATTCTATATAGGCCTAGAGAATAATTACATAGAATATACAGTGATTCTATATAGGCCTAGAGAATAATTACAGAGGATACACAGTGATTCTATATAGGCCTAGAGAATATACAGAATATACAATGATTCTATATAGGCCTAGAGAATAATAGAGAATATACAATGATTCTATATAGGCCTAGAGAATAATTACAGAGAATATACGGTGATTCTATATAGGCCTAGAGAATAATAGAGAATATACAATGATTCTTAAATTGGTTTACTAACTACTTATCACAAAGAAAACAACAGGTTTTAACTGAGGGCATATTTTCAACCTATAAATCTGTAAATGCCGGCGTTCCACAAGGGTCAGTTTTAGGCCCGTTTCTATTTCTTATATATATAAATGATATTTCAGATATAGTGACCAGTGACATTAAATTATTTGCAGATGATACGTCCTTAAGTGAAATTGTTGACAATAATAATATTGAAGTTGCAAATAAAATTTATATATAGGCCTACAAAATATATATACTGAATTTCTGTAGGTCTAGATAAAGAAGATGAACCTACTGTAACTTACAATTACCATGTCAATAATAGACCTAGAGATTAAAACCTTAAGTATACTTACCCTACTTTGTCTATTGGCTATCATATCCTCAGACAGTCGAAGCTTGTATGCATAGTATATCTGTCAGAAAGAAAAAAATTGACAGCATACATTTAGTTCATTATCCGTCACAGGATATTTTCTGGGACTCACATTTGAGATTGTAAAGTAAGAGTAATCAGATTGATGAAGAAGAGTGTGTGTAATATGTACAATTGTTTGATATGATCTGATATTTTACTTCACACAGACTCTCATTTCCTACTTATACATGGAATTTTTCTTTAAATATTACATTATCGCTAATTTCTTATATTTTCATTCACTAAAATCTGGTGTTAGAAACAAGCTTTGGCATTTAAGTAAACAGAGACAGTGCTTGTGTTCCTCATAAATACACATATCCATTATGATTTCATAACATCCGAATAGGAAAATATCAATTATTCAAAGAGACCTTCATGATTAATACACAGGAAACTCTCGCCCACGCCCCTAACATAGGTACTACTCACATCAGCGGACATTTCATTGAACTTGAGAATGAAGGCATGTTTGACCCAGTCCACCATTAATTCTGCACACAGTACTATGACAACATCAGGAATGATCACCCATATATGTTCTGTCAACAGAGAAAATATCTGTTTCACAAAACACCTCAGAAATCACAGCTGTATTTCAGCCTATTTCGAACATTGCTTTGTTACAATATATATTGAATCTTTGTGTCAACTACTATGAATTTCGATTGAGAACCACATTCAAGCTCCCACTAAATCTTTAACTTTCCCATCATCATATAAAGATTCTGAAGCTGTGACCTTGACCTGGAATATATATCTCTGACCTTCAGCAGGTCTCCAAACTATTTAATGCTAGTTTGAATCCCTCTTGTTAGGGAATTAATACCCAAATGGTTTGCATGATTTACATTGTCTCCATTGTGGAAGCTATACAAGTCACATTATTAGTGTCAGATAAAGGTAATTTCCTTGTAAGATTGTTATTGCCTTGAGAGCAACAATTAAGTTGTTTGTTTTAACCCCATCAGGGTCACAACACTTTTTATTATACCTTCCAGTTAAATTATTGTAACAGGAATCATTACTTATTTCAATGCCTCTAGCTGCTAGGATTTGAACCAGGATCCTTGGCTTACTAGTCTGACACTGATAAAGCGCTAAATAAAAGTTCTCTCTGGTCGAGCATTATATCAGAATTACTATTTTACCAGGACTACATTATGACAAAGTTAATCCAGAATTTGACAATAATGGAAAGCATTTATTGTATGTATGATTGACTCCTGTATGCACTTTAAAGGCAAAATATGTAACTGCAGTTGTGCACATCACATGGAATGAAAATGCCTGCATATCTCCAGTCAAGAGTACAAACTGGAGTCTTTATCAGTTCAGCTGTCATTACATGTATGTATTTGTGGTAAAAAAGATATCCTCACCTACATTCCAGGAGAACTCTGTCATGTTACGTATGAAGACGACAGCCAGCAGTATGGTGTAGTGGAAACGTTCCTTTACATCACTACATGAGATGTGGTACAGAAGTTCTTTGTCTATCTTCCTAAACAAACTACCTTTGATTTCTACAAACTGTAATATCAAAAACAAACCATTTTACCTTGGTAAAAATCTATTGTGATGAATACAGATTGTTTCTAATTCAAGGATGAAAATTACTTCAAATACCAAGGTATATTCAAATTTACAACAAAAAAGCAGTATTCCACTTCCGATACACCTACCAACCAGTACCACCAACAGGACATTGGACTCCTCCACCCTTTTGTACTTTTCCAAAAAAAAAAGTTAAAAAAAAAATGAAAATTGCATGGCCCTTGTGTTACCAGAGAAATACATTTCACAAACCACTGTAAAATCATGTTTTCTTGGAACTCAAATTTTGTTGTTTTCCAAAAATACATTTTTGTTGGCACTTTATATTGTGAATGAATGTCACTCACAAAATACATTAAACTATAGTCCATGTCACCTTTATCAGCTTATTATTTGATATATAAATTTATGGATTAAGAGTACCTACAAATTAAATGGAAAGAAATCCACCACAAAAAGTAAAGATTCTACAGTATATCATTGTATAGCCAGTAATTTTCATGTGCCAAAAATTATTGTGATTTTCTGTTAAAATGAACAAATTATATCTTTATGAATTAAAATTTTGCAATCTGGATGTGAAAGGACATGTAATACAACTGTGTCACATTATGTCAAGGATTAAATTTCTGTGGTCACATTAATGTACCATGAAATAATGAAAATATTATCCCCGTGAAAATAACCGGTTGTACTATACAAGACATTACAGTGAACCATTTATCATCATGTAAACCAACATCAAATCTTCTATTTTTCTTTTTTCTGGTGTAGATCCACATACTGTAAACATATATTACTTGGTGCAATCATATTTTAGCATGTTATCATTTTTTGGCAAATTAACACAATAATGTGCATCCACAAATATTGCTACACAGACCATGTAAAGGAAACACAGTTACTGACATACTTTCAGTGGGAAAAGTGCTAAAATTACTGCTACAATATATATATTTACAGTAATACAGATAGATGTGTGACACTTAAGTGGTAAAATACAGAATCAACACACTCTGTTATACTTACATTGTTTGACATCATAATAGTGAGAAGAGCTTTATTGTGAGAGTTGAAGGCAACATTGAGCACCGTAGCTTGGAACAGGATTAACAGACAATGGATGACTTAAACAGTTAGGGTTTTATAATATATACAAGTGTAGAATTCTATAATAGTAAACTATTTACTGAGGATGTAGCACTTAGGGTGCCATGACACAATTAATTGATGAATTTGATTTTAAAACATATTTCAAGAACTTAAACTGACACAGGTGCCATATTGGTGATACAAAGAATACCAAGTCAAAATAACCATGTAGGACTTGTTACTATATCAACATATGCTATAGAATCATCTTAACTTTATTAGGTATATATAATCAATGATATGATGATTCACTCTCACTTCTGTTAATCTCTTTACTTAAATGATATCAGTTCGAACTGAAGCTGACTTAAGTTGTCAGGGTGTGACACAGGTTGAAATAAGAACATCACAGAGTTACGGTCATGTGACTAGGACACCTAGCCATAAGGATACTGACATACAAGATGGCCAACAGAAGGTGGGGTAGAACACCAAAATGTTGGCGTTTCTTGTCCCGAGGCTCCATAGCTGTCCAGTACAGTGCGTCCAAGATGTCCTGGCCAAAGCTGGAGAACATACGGTCAGCCATCTATAAAAGGATAACAAGAGGTCCAATGAGCCTGCAGTGCTTACCTGGTATACATTATTGTATATATATTTAAATATATAAAAGCCAAATATCATGCCTCTAGGCTTTTTAGATCATGAGAAGAAGACATTTAAAGGTTTTAACAAATTTGACCCCTGTGACCTTGAATATAAGTCAAGGTCATTTCTTTTCGCACTCTGCGTTGGGCTTCATCCTAGTAACATACCAGTCAAATATCATGCCACTGGGCCTATTACTTTATGAGAAGAAGTTGTTAAAATGTTTTGAATATAAGTCATTTCTTTTCTTAGTCTTTGTCAGGATTTATCCTCAGAACATACCAGCCAAATATCAAAACATTTGATCAGGACAATGGACGGACAATGGATGCCATGCCATGGCATTAGCTTACTTGGCCCTTTGAGCCAGGTGAACTAAAAATGACCTAAATCAATACTGAAATTTTACATTTCTAAGAAATGTTGATTAAAAGTTAACAGTTATGGAAGATAATTTATAAACAATAACTTACATTTACAATTCACTTTAAGAACCTTACTAATTATTAAAAGGGAGGTCTACCATCTGCAAACAGACAACTCTTGCATATACACAAAGGGAGATAACTCTATCATAACTTATTAAAGGGTAAAATCTTAAGTAAAATAATTATAATATGTATCATGTGGATAATGTGAAATGATTATATACATGACCATAAATAATCTTACATCAAGCATATTGAAGAAGACGTAGAGTTTCACAATGGCCTGTCCTCGTACAAGATGATACATCATAGACGTGTCGATGTAATTGATGATGAAAAATGAGGCTAGTAATATGATGCCCTTCAATATATCACAAATTTGAGCTGGTTCTAAAAACCTGGGAGACCTGAAAATGTGAGCAAAAATTTATAAATTGTACAAATGTAGATTTATACGGAAGACATCATCTAAATAAAAAGTTAAGTTGTATGTCATTTTTCCATTCATCATGTGATTATTGTATTACTGTTACCATGAACAGGAAAAACATTGGACGTAAACAATTTGAAGACAGCTACAGGCTGAATTGTTGGGAATATCAAGTATGTTGATAAGATGACTTCAATCAACCAACCAATACACAGACAGGGAAAATGATAAAAAGTATAGGTGATAATTTTATTATTCAAGGACAGGGAGTTTTCCCCCATCTTACTGACTAATTTACTTGATTTTTCTGTGTCTGAGTAAAGCAGCTTGAACTCTGTGTTAGCCTTACTTTGGCATGAAGAAACCACAGGGATGTGTAATGATCTTCAACAAGGCAAGGACAATTCTCAGTGGCAAGAATGTAAATAGAAACAAGAAAGCATCCACCAGCTGGAAAAATCCAAACACGATAAACTGCAAAAGAAAAACAAGAAAATGATGTTTTCATACATTTTGGTTATAACACCTTTTGATTTATTTAAAATTACACAAAATCTCAAATAAAAATCTGATAGGATCTACAAGTACTGTATGTAAGAAAGGTGTGTAAACAAACAAAAGATATAATTAAATTTTACGCAATATAGTCTACAATTGATTAATGAATGCAAAGTTTACTCTGCATATTTATTTTCCTTTATAGTGATATCCTACACTGACGTAGATCAAGAATGGCCCTATTTCTGTCCAACACCTTTTTTCACAACCATCACCAGATAAAAGAAATTCACCAAAGTTATGTGATATCAATGTTTGGCTACGGTGCTACATGTGTCCGATATATAAGATATGTCACAGGTAAACTGAAGTGAGAGTCGAGATCGAGTTGTAATGGAATAGTGAAATGATAGCAGAGATCATTCGAGTCTTAAGTCCAAAGGATTACACCAATTATTTCATATTTTATTATTAAGAGTAAATAATATATACATTGTAATTGCAGGTTACAGCACACAGTATTCCAATTCCCATGAGACCGGTATTAAGAACAGGTGGACAGTTGAAGGCTACATCTATAAATTGGTATAAAGAACAGGTGGACTGTCGAAGGCTACACCTATACATTGGTATAAAGAAACCTATACATTGGTATAAAGAACAGGTGGACAGTTGAAGGCTACACTATACATTGGTATACATTGGTATTGGTATTAAGAACAGGTTGACAGTTGAAGGCTACACCTATACATTGGTATAAAGAACAGGTGGACAGTTGAAGGCTACACCTATACATTGGTATAAAGAACAGGTGGACTGTCGAAGGCTACACCTATACATTGGTATAAAGAACAGGTGGACAGTTGAAGGCTACACCTATACATTGGTATAAAGAACAGGGGGACTGTCGAAGGCTACACCTATACATTGGTATAAAGAACAGGTTGACTGTCGAAGGCTACACCTATACATTGGTATAAAGAACAGGTGGACTGTCGAAGGCTACACCTATACATTGGTATAAAGAACAGGTGGACTGTCGAAGGCTACACCTATACATTGGTATAAAGAACAGGTGGACTGTTGAAGGCTACACCTATACATTGGTATAAAGAACAGGTGGACTGTTGAAGGCTACACCTATACATTGGTATAAAGAACAGGTGGACAGTTGAAGGCTACACCTATACATTGGTATAAAGAACAGGTGGACTGTCGAAGGCTACACCTATACATTGGTATAAAGAACAGGTGGACTGTCGAAGGCTACACCTATACATTGGTATAAAGAACAGGTGGACTGTCGAAGGCTACACCTATACATTGGTATAAAGAACAGGTGGACAGTTGAAGGCTACACCTATACATTGGTATAAAGAACAGGTGGACTGTCGAAGGCTACACCTATACATTGGTATAAAGAACAGGTGGACAGTTGAAGGCTACACCTATACATTGGTATTAAGAAAGAACAGGTGGGACTGTGAAGGCTACACCTATACATTGGTATAAAGAACAGGTGGACTGTCGAAGGCTACACCTATACATTGGTATAAAGAACAGGTGGACTGTCGAAGGCTACACCTATACATTGGTATAAAGAACAGGTGGACTGTCGAAGGCTACACCTATACATTGGTATATTGGTATAAAGAAGAACAGGTGGACTGAAGGCTACACCTATACATTGGTATAAAGAACAGGTGGACAGTTGAAGGCTACACCTATACATTGGTATAAAGAACAGGTGGACTGTCGAAGGCTACACCTATACATTGGTATAAAGAACAGGTGGACTGTTGAAGGCTACACCTATACATTGGTATAAAGAACAGGTGGACAGTTGAAGGCTACACCTATACATTGGTATAAAGAACAGGTGGACAGTTGAAGGCTACACCTATACATTGGTATAAAGAACAGGTGGACTGTCGAAGGCTACACCTATACATTGGTATAAAGAACAGGTGGACTGTCGAAGGCTACACCTATACATTGGTATAAAGAACAGGTGGACTGTCGAAGGCTACACCTATACATTGGTATAAAGAACAGGTGGACTGTCGAAGGCTACACCTATACATTGGTATAAAGAACAGGTTGACTGTCAAAGGCTACACCTATACATTGGTATAAAGAACAGGTGGATTGTCAAAGGCTACACCTATACATTGGTATAAAGAACAGGTGGACTGTTGAAGGCTACATCTATACATTGGTATAAAGAACAGGTGGACAGCTGAAGGCTACACCTATACATTGGTATAAAGAACAGGTGGACTGTCGAAGGCTACACCTATACATTGGTATAAAGAACAGGTGGACTGTCGAAGGCTACACCTATACATTGGTATAAAGAACAGGTCAAAGGAAGGTATACATTGGTTGAAGTTGAAGGCTACATCTATAAATTGGTATAAAGAACAGGTGGACTGTCAAAGGCTACACCTATACATTGGTATAAAGAACAGGTGGACTGTCGAAGGCTACACCTATACATTGGTATAAAGAACAGGTGGACTGTCGAAGGCTACACCTATACATTGGTATAAAGAACAGGTGGACTGTCGAAGGCTACACCTATACATTGGTATAAAGAACAGGTGGACTGTCGAAGGCTACACCTATACATTGGTATAAAGAACAGGTGGACTGTCGAAGGCTACACCTATACATTGGGCTACACCTATACATTGGTATAAAGAACATTGGTATAAAGACAGGTGGACTGTCGAAGGCTACACCTATACATTGGTATAAAGAACAGGTGGACTGTTGAAGGCTACACCTATACATTGGTATAAATAACAGGTGGACTGTTGAAGGCTACACCTATACATTGGTATGGTATAAAGCTACACCTATACATTGGTATAAAGAACAGGTGGGAAGGCTACACCTATACATTGGTATAAAGAACAGGTGGACTGTCGAAGGCTACACCTATACATTGGTATAAAGAACAGGTGGACTGTCGAAGGCTACACCTATACATTGGTATAAAGAACAGGTGGACTGTCGAAGGCTACACCTATACATTGCTATTAAGAACAGGTTGACAGTTGAAGGCTACACCTATACATTGGTATAAAGAACAGGTGGACTGTCGAAGGCTACACCTACGCATTGGTATAAAGAACAGGTGGACTGTCGAAGGCTACACCTATACATTGGTATAAAGAACAGTGGTTGACAGTTGAAGGCTACACCTATACATTGGTATAAAGAACAGGTGGACAGTTGAAGGCTACACCTATACATTGGTATTAAGAACAGGTTGACTGTCAAAGGCTACACCTATACATTGGTATAAAGAACAGGTGGATTGTCAAAGGCTACACCTATACATCGGTATAAAGAACAGGTGGACTGTCGAAGGAAGGCTACACCTATACATTGGTATATAGAACAGTCGGACTGTCGAAGGCTACACCTATACATTGGTATAAAGAACAGGTGGACTGTCGAAGGCTACACCTATACATTGGTATAAAGAACAGGTGGACAGTGGAAGGCTACACCTATACATTGGTTATAAAGAACAGGTGGACTGTCGAAGGCTACACCTATACATTGGTATAAAGAACAGGTGGACTGTTGAAGGCTACACCTATACATTGGTATAAAGAACAGGTGGACAGTTGAAGGCTACACCTATACATTGGTATAAAGAACAGGTGGACTGTTGAAGGCTACACCTATACATTGGTATAAAGAACAGGTGGACTGTCGAAGGCTACACCTATACATTGGTATAAAGAACAGGTGGACTGTCGAAGGCTACATCTATACATTGGTATAAAGAACAGGTTGACAGTTGAAGGCTACACCTATACATTGGTATAAAGAACAGGTGGACAGTTGAAGGCTACACCTATACATTGGTATAAATAACAGGTGGACTGTTGAAGGCTACACCTATACATTGGTATAAAGAACAGGTGGACAGTTGAAGGCTACACCTATACATTGGTATAAAGAACAGGTGGACTGTTGAAGGCTACACCTATACATTGGTATAAAGAACAGGTGGACTGTCAAAGGCTACATCTATACATTGGTATAAAGAACAGGTTGACAGTTGAAAGCTACACCTATACATTGGTATAAAGAACAGGTGGACAGTTGAAGGCTACACCTATACATTGGTATAAATAACAGGTGGACTGTTGAAGGCTACACCTATACATTGGTATAAAGAACAGGTGGACAGTTGAAGGCTACACCTATACATTGGTATAAAGAACATGTGGACTGTTGAAGGCTACACCTATACATTGGTATATAGAACAGTCGGACTGTCGAAGGCTACACCTATATATTGGTATAAAGAACAGGTGGACTGTCGAAGGCTACACCTATACATTGGTATAAAGAACAGGTGGACAGTAGAAGGCTACACCTATACATTGGTATAAAGAACAGGTGGACAGTTGAAGGCTACACCTATACATTGGTATAAAGAACAGGTGGACTGTCGAAGGCTACACCTATACATTGGTATAAAGAACATGTGGACTGCCGAAGGCTACACCTATACATTGGTATATAGAACAGGGGGACTGTCGAAGGCTACACCTATACATTGGTATAAAGAACAGGGGGACTGTCGAAGGCTACACCTATACATTGGTATAAAGAACAGGTGGACTGTTGAAGGCTACACCTATACATTGGTATAAAGAACAGGTGGACTGTCGAAGGCTACATCTATACATTGGTATTAAGAACATGTTGACAGTTGAAGGCTACACCTATACATTGGTATTAAGAACAGGTTGACAGTTGAAGGCTACACCTATACATTGGTATTAAGAACAGGTTGACAGCTGAAGGCTACACTTATACATTGGTATAAATAACAGGTGGACTGTCGAAGGCTACACCTATACATTGGTATAAAGAACAGGTGGACTGTCGAAGGCTACACCTATACATTGGTATAAAGAACAGGGGGACTGTCGAAGGCTACACCTATACATTGGTATAAAGAACAGGTGGACTGTTGAAGGCTACACCTATACATTGGTATATAGAACAGTCGGACTGTCGAAGGCTACACCTATACATTGGTATAAAGAACAGGTGGACTGTCGAAGGCTACACCTATACATTGGTATAAAGAACAGGTGGACAGTTGAAGGCTACATCTATACATTGGTATAAAGAACAGGTGGACTGTCGAAGGCTACACCTATACATTGGTTATAAAGAACAGGTGGACTGTCGAAGGCTACATCTATACATTGGTATAAAGAACAGGTTGACAGTTGAAGGCTACACCTATACATTGGTATAAAGAACAGGTGGACAGTTGAAGGCTACACCTATACATTGGTATAAATAACAGGTGGACTGTTGAAGGCTACACCTATACATTGGTATAAAGAACAGGTGGACTGTCGAAGGCTACACCTATACATTGGTATAAAGAACAGGTGGACTGTCGAAGGCTACATCTATACATTGGTATAAAGAACAGGTGGACTGTCGAAGGCTACACCTATACATTGGTATAAAGAACAGGTGGACTGTTGAAGGCTACACCTATACATTGGTATAAAGAACAGGTGGACAGTTGAAGGCTACACCTATAAATTGGTATAAAGAACAGTTGGACTATCAAAGGCTACACCTATACATTGGTATAAAGAACAGGTGGACAGTTGAAGGCTACACCTATACATTGGTATAAAGAACAAGTGGACTGTTGAAGGCTACACCTATACATTGGTATAAAGAACAGGTGGACAGTTGAAGGCTACACCTATACATTGGTATAAAGAACAGGGGGACTGTCGAAGGCTACATCTATAAATTGGTATAAAGAACAGGTGGACTGTCGAAGGCTACACCTATACATTGGTATAAAGAACAGGGGGACTGTCGAAGGCTACACCTATACATTGGTATAAAGAACAGGTTGACTGTCAAAGGCTACACCTATACATTGGTATAAAGAACAGGTGGACTGTCGAAGGCTACACCTATACATTGGTATAAAGAACAGGTGGACAGTTGAAGGCTACACCTATACATTGGTATTAAGAACAGGTTGACAGTTGAAGGCTACACCTATACATTGGTATAAAGAACAGGTGGACAGTTGAAGGCTACACCTGTACATTGGTATAAATAACAGGTGGACTGTTGAAGGCTACACCTATACATTGGTATAAAGAACAGGTGGACAGTTGAAGGCTACACCTATACATTGGTATAAAGACACCTATACATTGGTATAAAGAACAGGTGGACTGTCAAAGGCTACATCTATACATTGGTATAAAGAACAGGTTGACAGTTGAAAGCTACACCTATACATTGGTATAAAGAACAGGTGGACAGTTGAAGGCTACACCTATACATTGGTATAAATAACAGGTGGACTGTTGAAGGCTACACCTATACATTGGTATAAAGAACAGGTGGACAGTTGAAGGCTACACCTATACATTGGTATAAAGAACATGTGGACTGTTGAAGGCTACACCTATACATTGGTATATAGAACAGTCGGACTGTCGAAGGCTACACCTATATATTGGTATAAAGAACAGGTGGACTGTCGAAGGCTACACCTATACATTGGTATAAAGAACAGGTGGACAGTAGAAGGCTACACCTATACATTGGTATAAAGAACAGGTGGACAGTTGAAGGCTACACCTATACATTGGTATAAAGAACAGGTGGACTGTCGAAGGCTACACCTATACATTGGTATAAAGAACATGTGGACTGCCGAAGGCTACACCTATACATTGGTATATAGAACAGTCGGACTGTCGAAGGCTACACCTATACATTGGTATAAAGAACAGGGGGACTGTCGAAGGCTACACTTATACATTGGTATAAAGAACAGGTGGACTGTTGAAGGCTACACCTATACATTGGTATATAGAACAGTCGGACTGTCGAAGGCTACACCTATACATTGGTATAAAGAACAGGTGGACTGTCGAAGGCTACACCTATACATTGGTATATAGAACAGTCGGACTGTCGAAGGCTACACCTATACATTGGTATAAAGAACAGTCGGACTGTCGAAGGCTACACCTATACATTGGTATAAAGAACAGGTGGACTGTCGAAGGCTACACCTATACATTGGTATATAGAACAGGTCGGACTGTCGAAGGCTACACCTATACATTGGTATAAAGAACAGGTGGACAGTAGAAGGCTACACCTATACATTGGTATAAAGAACAGGTGGACAGTTGAAGGCTACACCTATACATTGGTATAAAGAACAGGTGGACTGTCGAAGGCTACACCTATACATTGGTATAAAGAACATGTGGACTGCCGAAGGCTACACCTATACATTGGTATATAGAACAGTCGGACTGTCGAAGGCTACACCTATACATTGGTATAAAGAACAGGGGGACTGTCGAAGGCTACACTTATACATTGGTATAAAGAACAGGTGGACTGTTGAAGGCTACACCTATACATTGGTATATAGAACAGTCGGACTGTCGAAGGCTACACCTATACATTGGTATAAAGAACAGGTGGACTGTCGAAGGCTACACCTATACATTGGTATATAGAACAGTCGGACTGTCGAAGGCTACACCTATACATTGGTATAAAGAACAGTCGGACTGTCGAAGGCTACACCTATACATTGGTATAAAGAACAGGTGGACTGTCGAAGGCTACACCTATACATTGGTATATAGAACAGTCGGACTGTCGAAGGCTACACCTATACATTGGTATAAAGAACAGGTGGACTGTCACTATGGTGCAATGGCTTCTTCCATATTTGGTTTTGTTGTCAACATTTAGAATTTGAATCTTTCCAAAATATAACTTTTTTGAGTTATGTGCAAAATTCAAACTATTTTTTCCATTTCACATGAGATTTATGAAACTCACCTCGTAATTTAATTTACGTTCCCCTAAAGTTTTATTAAAACTTTGTATACATGTTTCATAAAATTTCAAATGAAGTGAAAATTCATTTAGATGCAATATTTATTACATCCTTAATATCATTACCAGTGAATTATTTTAAACCAGTTCATCTGGTTCTACCTTTTCTAGTTCTCTTGGAGTTTTCATGAATGTGTAGACTCTCTGGCGCCGCTCAGTAAACTTTTCCTTGTCTCGTTCCAACATGTATCCTCTTGTCAGTTCTGAGATCACATACCCAAATACAGACAGTTCTGGAAATAAGAGGATTTCAACACACGTTCCTGAATCTAGATATGTTGTTTTAAGATTTGAAGTACATACATCATTTACATTGGTGTATCCAACTCTGTGTGATGCGGGCTGAGTTTGCTGTTTCTCATCCTACTGGTAATATTTTCACTTCCGTGTTATGTGGACAGAGTGTACTGTATCTCATCCTGCCAGTGTAATGTATCTCATTTTCACTTCTGTGTTATGTGGACAGAGTGTATTGTATTTCAATTCATGGGTACTATTTTCACTTCTGTGTTATGTGGACAGAGTGTACTGTATCTCATCCTGCCAGTGTAATGGATCTCATTTTCACTTCTGAGGACTGTGTGTATTGTATCTCATTTACCGGTAATATTTTCACTTCAGTGTGATGTGGACAGAGTACAGTATCTCATCAGGTGAGTGCAATGCATTACATTTTCACTTCTGTGTGATGTAGACAGAGTGTACTGTGTCTCAACCCTTGGGTAATATTTTCGCTTTTGCGTGATGTGGACAGAGTGTACAGTATCTCATCTGGTGTGTAATATTTTCACTTCTGTGTGATATGGACAGTGTTAGGTATTTCAACCTGTGAGTTTTAATTTAGTTAAGAATGAGGCTTTGTAATTCGCTAAACCTCAAAAATATAAATCAGAGGATTGAGATTGAGATGCCCACATTACACAGATTGTTTTTCTCCTACATTTCAAATCGCAATATAAACGAAATTTTGGTACTACATACAACGCCCCAGCATAAATGACTATGATACGCTCACATTATGTGGTATAACAGATGGCATTATCGAAATGTCATATGTTTATGCCACTTAAAGTGATGACACGTTTTTGCACGTGTCAGCTTATATTTATTTATTTTCTTTGGAGAAAGACATAAGCTTAATAAGTAAACATGGGAATACATCATATTCCTTCAACATCCCATAAGACCTGATGTAATCGACTGTCCTATATCATGTTTTTAAAAAGATAAAGGAAGCTGATCATGATGTGGTGGCATCCACTGGAAAAATTGGTGGATGAGCGAACAAGTTGATAATTTCACAATTAAATTGCAAGTCTATCTTTATGAAGCCGTAACCTTCAAACACCGGTAACATTATAGTTTTATCAACTCGCAAGACGCGATATTGCACAGCTGACATTACATGTCATCGTTCGATTAGCTTACTTTCGGATTTCTTTGGAGCATGTGCTTCCTCTTGTTTCAATCTGTCTGTTACACCTTCCTTGCTCGCCAAATTCTCGATTTTTGAGGCACTTGTACTCATTGCAGTAGTAGACAGCTCCGGAGTCGCGTACAGGAAAGGCAATAAAACTAATCATCACAATAGTCTCAGTGTTGAATGCGCTTAAGGATAGACAATATAAAATCCAAACGTTCTTATGTCTAGCATACACTTTATGCGTTTTCGTTCTTTTTTGACAAAAGAGTTCTACATGACGTGTTGCATTGGAAATGGCAGACAGGAACGCCAAAGACTCAACCCCTCCGCCGCTTTTGTTAATGCCTGCCGGCGGAGGCCTAACTCTCAATCCACCTGACCATCCGAATGTGCTTATGCCTGTTATTCAGAGTGAACCATCACTTTTAGGATCCGGTAAATTTACATTCTAACTAGAGTCGATAACGATGCCGGCTAAATGTCATTTCCGCAGCTGTTCAGAGTGTTTGTAAACACGTGAACATTTATTGTGAAGTTTATGTGTTTTTATCATATTAAGTTAATCACCCATTATAATAAAGAATCCTTTCACACTCGTTTTAATGTATCGTATACTGCATCTTGACGAATTTAATTTTGTGGTAGGAAAACTACATTTTTGCAAGGATGATACATTTTGTATTTACATTTGCTAAAACACACGAACTTGGGTTCGCGTTAGTTCACCTGAATTTACATGTTGAATTACACTTTATTTACGAGGTAAAATATAAAGATAACATCAACCAAATTTTATGGCTGTATATATAATCAAAATTATTTCCAATAATTTTTTAGATGTGTGATAAAAATGATTACAACCAAAAAACAAAACTGTAGCTAGCATACTCTGACAAGTGCTTGAGAGGGAACAGTGCCCGACCACTTACGATATTTTCTGTTGTTATTCCGTAAAACGACCAATTTTTCCTCTCATAATGCATGCTCATTGTTGGATGTATTGACACTACTGTGCACGATAACTGTCAAAATAAACATTGATTCCTAAAAAGTTGACATACTTCAATTTTTTGCCCACTCTAAAATAATCATAGTAAAATATCTTATTCAAAGGAAAAGTATTGCATTATATTTGTATTTGATGTATTTTACAAAATATATTACAAACCAAAATATTGGTCCATTTTTCCCCCATCGAATGCTGATTCATGATTTCCATATAGAAAATAGTCTTTTATGGTTTTTGTGTTGGAGACGTTTGAATATTATTAAGTAGGATGACAACACAACAACATTGTAAATATTTGATTCGCTAATGGGGTGGTCGAGCATAGGTTCCAACTTCTATCTTTGCTTAGTTGGTCATAAAAACAATGGGAATTTTCATCAGAAATAATAATCATTTAGTTTCAAAAATGTAAATGAATTATGTATGAAAAACACTAATTTAAAAGTTTCTGCTAATTTTGAAGCATAATGATTTTAACATCACAGATAAAACTTGTTATTCCTGTGGCTTGATAGCTCACATCATTCAGTAACACATACTTGGGTATTTAGACAGACATTCATCATACCTGAATATTTGCTTTGAATTCACAGGTCATAAAATGAATGTTTCAAAATTTAATGATGTCATTACTGTGATGGATTTGTTTTAAATTTTCACATTTGTTTTTTTTCCTGTTTATAGTGAATTTACTGTTTGTAAAATATGAGCCTGTGTATATTTTCCTTCGTGTATTGCTGAATTTTGACTTGTTTTTTTTTATTATTATTTTCTGTATACTTTTGTATGGTATTTTGTGAATTCTTCAGAATTTGTGGAAATATTTTTGACACAGTTAAGGAGTTAAATAAAAACACCTTATCCTTGTACAACTGTACCCATGGTTGCCTAATGTGGATGTACTCCTGAATCAATTGAACCATAATCAGAAGAATAAGAACTGGAAGAAATATTGACTTTCACTGAAATATTTCTGTTTAGAAGTTAAAAGCCATCAAAACATGCTTATTAAACCTTTGTTTATATCTGCTTGCAGATGAGGAAGGAGAAGCAGACAGTTTTGTTGGGCAGTCCCCACCACCAGGGCCAAATGCTCCCTCACAGCCTTCAACATTTAACCTCTTCCAAAAGTCAGGTGGAGGTGCAGCTGATCCATTTTCACAAGTGGGACACAATCCTCACCCTAGTCCCATACCAGCCAGTTTGTTTGGGTCTCCTGCAACAACAACAGCTACACAGGCTGTAGTACAGCCCAATCTACAGACTCCAACATCAAAACCAGGACAGCAGTTCAATGGAGCTCCAGTCACTCAACCAATGTTTGGTATTAAGTATAGTTTATTGTAATATTCTGTTGTCTTTCTATTCATGCGGTGCCCTTGTTTCATAGATTCGAGCTTGAATTAAGAACCTGTCAGTATTTTCTTTTTTGTTTCTTGAGAGAATCATTTAAGAACCATTAAACACATACTCATTCAAATTTTATTTTGTGCTTGTTTCTTGGAGATTTTTAAAATTGCACTTGCATTTATGATATCTTGAACCAGGTATTGAGTATTTACCGAGTAATAATTTATTTTGACAGGAAGTTCGCCAGCACCCCCTCCTGCTGGTAACCAATTCCGTAAACAGCAAGGTAAGAAATTAGCAACATATGCTCAAATGCCTGCTGGGACATACGCTGGAGACCAAGGGGCACCAAATCCATATGCCATGGGAATGTCACCAAGTATGATGCCTCCCGGGCCTCCAAGTAGTATGATGTCACCAGGACAACCTCAATATATGACTTCAATGGGAGGTTTGCCCCCAGTTCCTCCTTCTGTCCAGTCATCTGTATCCATGACACCATCTTCATCCCCCTATGGAGGCCCCCCTGTGGCACAAGTGAACCCCACAGTCTCACAGACATCATTTACACAGAGGTCACAAGCCAGCTTTGATATGGACAAATCTAATTTATCAGGAACCAACCAAGGAGGTTTTTACCAACCTGTTCGGGCTCACTGGTGTTTTTCTAAAAGAGTGGAAAGTAAATTGATCTGGTACCCATTCTCACTGAAGGACAGTTTGGCTATAGAAGAGGCTTTCAGAAGTGGTTAGTGTTTGGTTACTGTAAAATTATGTACCAGGAATTTTTGTGACATTAAAATTTCATTGTTTTCCAAAAATATACATTTTTGTTGGCACTTGATTTTATGGTTATCTCTAGCTCTTGAAATCTGCTAGTCCTATAATCCAAGTCAACTTTTATCATTTATTAATTCCTAAACATATAAATTCATGGATTTAGAATACCCATGAAATGAAAATAAATCCTCCAAAAAGATTAAGCATTTTACAATAATCATGAAGATTTTATACAGAATCAGACATAAATAACTTCTATAGATGAATTCTAATCATCGGAAATCTATTCATTTGATCACAAACTGGATTGAGAAGGGACCAACTAATCAAGGCAAAGGAAATGAGATTTAGAAACCTCATATTTTGTTCTAAAAGCATGATAGTAATTAGGGTTTGCTCTCATTTATTGTTTCTGGATTAGAATTTTATGTGTATTTATTATCAGCAACAACTGTTTAGTTTGGTATACTTTTATTTTGTAGGTGCTGAAGTGGTACCCACTGACGGTGGACGTTATGACGTATTCATGTCCAGTCGCACACGAAAGTCTGTGTACTGGCAGGAAGACCCATCTCCTGTTGTCAGAAGTACCTGGTTTTACAAACGAGAGGGTGACAATCGATATGTCCCATATGAGGAGCAGATTGCTCAGAGACTTGAAGTAATTTAAATTTATAGTGTGAAAAATGATTTTTATCAAAATCTTAGCAACCAACTTTATTGATAATTTTCTAGTTCATAGTCTTGTTCCAAATTTTCATTTCAATTCTAAAGTGTACAATTTCATTTCACAATTTACAGTAATTAACTAAAGCTAATTCAGGGAAAAAAATATTCATTTGTTACTTGAATTCCTGAGATATATTTCTGTGACAGTGAAAACAGACTGCAGATTTGAAAGGTTATATTTGGGTCACTCTTCGTGCTGAGAATATGGCACGAATTGCAGTTTCCATATGTTGATTGTATAACAATTGTGCAGATGATGCAAATATCATATTTTGATTTGATGTGGCTTTTTTGTTGTTGTAGAGTGAGTACCAGAATGCTGTAACCAACAATGCCTGGCACAAACGCCTAGAGTTTCCTGGAGGGGAGACTGTTGTGATGCACAACGAGAATGCGATGGTCTATTTCCAACCTTCCTCTCAGCCAGATGAGTGGGGTACTGTACAGGTAGGTAGACTGTAGCATTCCCAATCCATGTCTCCTCGAAATCTATTTTGTTCTCTTGATGGATCTTCACAGTAAACTGATCCTATTAAAATACAGAAAATACAATGGACTCCAGTTATTTTGGGTTAAGGTTTGCTGTGCTAATTCTCAATTTAGATCCTGTTGATGAGCCAAAGCCAGTCAGATCTTTCTACATGTTGTAACCAATTAAGAATTAAGTGTTGGATGATAGACTTTGACTGGTTGTGTCATTTTTTTTCTCTCATTGGATGCAAGTGAAGATCAATTTGTAATAGTATATAACAAGGTAAACACATGATCAACACTACATGTGATAATATAATCCTGGTAAGACTACATACATGATAGATAAAACATGATCAAAACTTCATGTGATAATATATTCCTGGTAACACTACATACATGATAGATAAAACATGATCAAAACTTCATGTGATAGAATATTCCTGGTAACACTACATACATGATAGATAACATATGACCAGAACTTAAGTGTTTATTTTCATGGAATAGTATAACAAGGATTTACCATTGTAAGAAAACAATACTGAATGCTAAAACCTGATCACGACTCTCTTATTTTATCAACATTTTCAAATCTAATGTATTCTATCATACATACCACATATATATACTGTACAGACATATCCCTGTTCATTTGGACTAGTTTAATAAAGATGTAAGTGAGAACACACTTTTTCAGGAAAACAGGTTAGATATTTAAAACTGCACACTCCCACAAAACAATGTTAAATTATGTAAATGCACACACTCTCATACAACAACCTTTGTTTTCACTGGTCTGTTAAGCCTTACAGCTCATTTAAGCTAATTGTAACAGCATAACAATATGTGGTAGGCTTTGGGATGAGCAATGCATGTGCATGGTTTGATTGAGAATAACATTGGGTTATAACTATTAAAATTGTCCATATATCTTCATCATTGTGATTTTAAAACCTGTTTACATTAGGCCCCAAGCTAGGTCTACAGTATATGGTATAAGTGTTGCTGTCAAAATCATTTATCTGATTCAAATACAAATCTATTCAGAATACAACTATTATTTGACAATTATTTGATTATTTGAGAAAGATTTAAAAATCTGTTATTGTAAAAAGCCACTGTTAGATTTGGTTATGAGGGCAGTAGAATGAAGATATATGTAATAAAACTAGAATGATTGATCATTTTTACCTCAAATGTACTGATTTTACTGGTAAAACAGTGATAATATCCCAAATAGGCATATACCTCAAAATAAACATAATTACTTGACTCTAAAGTTCAATGCAGCTGGTTATTTTGGTCTGAGAATTCATTTAAAGGACAGTGTGAATTTCGGGGAAAAAAAGGTGAATTCTACTGCAGAAGTGTTAATAATTCACCCTTGAGCAAGGAAATTCACACAAATCTATTCCTCATTGTGAACAGCTTTTAGGTAGTTACTTAAGAAAAGTACTGACCTATTGGATGAAAACACCCAGCAAACGAGATAATGACATCTGGATATACATTGTACACATATAGATATTCTTAAGTTTCATTATATAGCTGTGTTAATAGCTCACCTTGTTCGTCTCGATCTGGATAAGAAAGCAAGTTTCAGACAAGAACATACACTGAAGGTTAAGATCACGGCTACAATGGTCCTTACACCATAATCAGCTCTGCTTGGGTTTACAGATACATGCTGGCTTATGTTCTATTGTGGAAACACGCTTCAGTAGATACATACAACATGCTTTCATTCTGAATTCCACTACCAATTTAGCAGGCATTACGTGATCCATGTTTGCTACTTTTGCTTTTCAGAATTTTTTTCATTTTTCATTTTTTGAGTAAAATATAGAAATTTTTCGATGTAGGATAGCTTTTAATGACATTACCAACTAATTTTAACAATTAGAATAAAAGTGTCAATCAATAATTGATCAAAAAAAGAAAACAATGAAAAATGTTTGAATTCCTGACTATTTCTATTCAGATGCTCACATATGGTATGGGAGGCCAGGTATGGGTTTAATTCTCCCTAGATATAAACCACTTATGTTGATACAGGAAACATTATTTCTTGATATTTTACCTCTTCTGATGACCATCTGATATCAGGATTAAGCTTCAATATTATTATTTAAAGTCACACCAAAAAACCAAATGTAGGACACCTTAAGAAAAGCACATAACTGATCTTATCAAGTATGTCAGTATAAAAGACATTTGTTTCATGGTATTAAGGTGTATACAGCAGTGCACAGAAAATTTGCTATTTTCCCAAAAAAAAAAATGAATTCATAAATAAAATAAATACCAGTAAATAGGAAATAAGATTCTGTGTTCCTCATGATTTGTTAAAGACAGGAATCAACTGCAGTTTTGTGGTTTTTGTTATGTTACCAATAAACTTGTGTTTTTGCCAAATTATTTGTAGTGCTTGTTGTATGTATTACAAAATCATGAAGTAAGTTAGGGCCTCCTGCATGTCAATGTTCTATGTAGTAACAGTCACCTTGTGGTCAGTGGATGATTTAGAGTGGACATTCCCAAACTGTCACATTCAGTTGACCATCATCTGTAGATTTTTCATGCACAATAGTACTAACACTGATGTAAGTTATTAATGGGTTTTGTTATGGAACTTCATGGTTGTGTATTTCATTATTTTATTGACTATATGATGTAAATTTTGTAACACTTAGATCTGTATCCAGGTAGGTCAAAGGTATTCTCAAAGGTCATGGTCAAAAATAGTCCTCAAAAGTCAAGGTCTAAGATTTCCCTCAAGGCAGAAAGGTGGCCAGGTGGCGTGACAGTAACACACTCGCCTTTTACATAGCCGTCCAGGGTTTATCTCCTGGTATAGGTGTGAAATAAGTATCGGGTGACCTGCCTGATGTGGGTTTTCCTGAGAACTCTGGTTTCCTCCCACAATAAGACCCCTTACCCCCATTCATCCAGGCCAGCAAGAGTGATTAATATAAGCTTTTGTAGAATAGATAAAGTTTAGAAAATAAATATTCCTCAAAGTCAAGGTCATAGATATGTCCAAGCTCAGTTTCATTAGTTATAGTAAGACAAATTCCTTTAGTAGATGCTTGAGCTTGTACAAAATACATCACAGTATAATCTGCATGGCTAGACCCTGCCATACACAAACCCTTTGTACTGTTAAACATTTAGAATGTTTCATTGTATGTTAAGAACTGCACCTAGATGAGCTACTGTAGTTACAGCATGCATGAAGAGCACAGCTAACATGACAGAAGGGGAGGTGTGGAGGAGGAAACAGAAGGAACAGGGGGAGAAGGACGTGTGGAGGGGGAAACAGAAGGAACAGGGGGAGAGGGATGTATGGAGAGGGAAACAGAAGGAACAGGGGGAGAAGGACGTGTGGAGGGGGAAACAGAAGGAACAGGGGGAGAGGGAGGTGTGGAGGGGGAAACAGAAGGAACAGGGGGAGAAGGACGTGTGGAGGGGGAAACAGAAGGAACAGGGGGAGAAGGAGGTATGGAGGGGGAAAAAAAAGGAACAGGGGGAGAGGGAGGTGTGGAGGGGTAAACCAAAGGAACAGAGAGAAGGAGGGGTAATCTTAGTCAGTTCGAGTTCATCAAACACAGTATCAAAGTGTAGTGTGATATGTCATTTGTTCCACTGTCAGATTATACAGTATGTAAAATTTTAAGGAAGTGTTGATATGATATATTTTATAGTCATGTTCTTGTGTTGATGAATTAAGTTCATCTTGAAGTAAAATCCACCCCATGAAGTTCACCAATTTAGCACTTAATATACTTGCTGGCATTTCAAATCTGAAAAAGTGAAAGATCTCTGACAAAGTTTCACATCTCACTGGAATAGAAATCAATCACAGGAAGATCCCTGGCAATGAAATCAATTGAAGATCTTCACAAATGGAGGGTTTAGAAGTGGAAAGACATTAAATAAATCAAACGTTTCTGAATGGTCATTTTTATAACAATGCCTTATTTGACAAGCATTTCAGATAATTTCCAATTTTTAAGATTTGACAAGAATTGCTAATGATTTCCCATTTTCTTTGTTGAAGGGTCCTCCTCCTCCTCTCATGGTGAGTTCTGGTGTCTTGCTTTAGTGCTGCTAGGCATGGTTACACTTCACTGACTTTGTCTCTGGAGACTACATCTGATATAAAGACAGAAATCTGTGCTGTGTGGTTTTACTTTCTGTTTCTTACACCTATAGATCTGTCATTTTCGTAATTCATATATTCGGCTTGATTGATTTACTACCGATGAAGGGAAGGTGTGAACGTTTCAAGTACTGTAGTACTGAACAAAGTATTGATAGTATTGTATTGAAGTACTTCACCAATCGAATTCCTTAAATTTATGCAACAAGCTCTCTGATTGGCAGAGCCAAGTCTAGATCGATTGTGGGTGGAGCCAGGTGAAAAAATACTGTGCAGACATCGGCATTTTACAAACACTCGACTGTCGCGAGAGGTTAATTGGAAGAGTCCAAGTCACAGGTGGCTTCAGATCAGACCTAATTGGGTTGTCCCATTTGTTTCGTTCATCGATGGTACAACGAGAAAACGAAAGTTACTCAGTACTAAACTAATTTACGTACAAAATATATATCAACAGGTTAGATCACTGGGACCGGAGAATTCATAACATCTTAACAGTGAATGTAGTCACATAGTCATTCTGTACTAGTTTTATTTATTTATTTATTTTTTTGAAAGGGGGGGGGAGGGTTGGCTCAAAATATTTCGGTTTAAGCCCAAGCTCTATTATATGTAACAAAGAATTACGAATTACCTGGGACCTCCTGATATATGCCGATAATTCATACTGCATTAAAAAATAAAGGAATTCTGTGGTCCCATATATTTTTTATTTTATTTTTTATCTTTCCATCGAAAATTATACATATCCGCAACATGTGAAAAAACTTTGAAGTTGGTTGGGCGGAATATCTAGAGCATTTACTACTGCAAGTTCCAGAAATTCTGACACAAGTCGGGTATATTTGCCCGAAGCCTCTGTCTCATGACATTGAATACATATTCAGTTACGTTGTATTCCGGGGAATAAGGCGGCTGAAAAACCAGGGACACGCCATATTCTTTCAGCATATTTCTTAAAATGCGCTCTCCCTGTCTATGGTGATGGAATCCACAATTATCCATCACAACCACATCGCCTTGTACAAAAACAGGATTCCCCATATCGTTCGTATCGGACATAATTTCGTCGAAGAAAATTTCGCGTACTGTTGCCGTCGTCGGACATTTTTCCAGCGATTACTTAGTACTTGTTATGTAACTGATAGTGTACATTAACTCCGCCTACCGGAACAAATTGGGTGTCAGATCAACTATTCAGGTTGTCTAAACTCCGCCCCCGACCAATCACAGAGGTCGTTGTATACTTGACTCGATTATTTGAATACTTCAATACAATAGTATCAATACTTTGTTCAATACTATAGTAAGTGTGTCGTTCACACCTTCCCTTCATCGGTAGTAAGAGTTTTTACAGCACCATTTTTAAAACAATGAAAACAAAAAGATTCTTCAGACTTATGTTTCAAAATAAAATACCTGAATGTGGAAGTGATCTGAAGAAATTTCAAAACTGTTTGGTTGTCATGAATATTAATGTAATGAAATACATTTGAAAATCTGTCTGAGGGAAATGGTATTGATGCTGAGTTGGAAAAGGTCATTCGCCATGTTATTGTGATATCATGCCCAGAGCATTAACTGAGATTTTTTTATATCCATCATGCACTCAGAAGTGATTGATTCTGTTTCTCACACATATTATTATGCATGTTTCTTACACATTTCTCTGTGAACATGTAATCAGAAACTGTAGTAAAAACATGTCTCAATACTGCATGTGTGAAAATCTGCAGACATACACAAGTTGAGGACATTAATCCTGTGGTACAGCAGGAAGATTAAAATCACTACTTCAGATATAGGTTCTAATAAATCCCTTTTACTCTTTGCAAACATGATTCTACACTGCCTTGTTACTGCATGACCCTTCAACATTTTTATTGTTTTGCTAAATACAGCAGTGTATTGTATTTTAAAGTTGTTAATGTCTTGAAGCATATTTGTTTTTTACAATTTGCTTTTTAGCTGCTATCTTGTCTGTGTTGTCTACCATTGCTTTGTAGCAGAGATATTCAGCTTGTACATATTTCAACTGAATGCACTTACCTTGGTTTTGTAATAGGCGTGTAACTTGAGCAGTTTTTTCAGTTTCCATACTTTGTTGATTTGTGTAACAGATGTCATTATATTTCAATGTATCAACCAGAAATCATACCCAGGACTTCTTATCATCATAGCCTATATTGTGGGTTAGATATTTTTCATTATCCCTGATTCATGTCCGTTGCATTTAAAGACATTTTGAGAGCGTGTGTAATTGATTGACCTGTCAAATATCGTGTACATGTAACTGGACAGTCTTCACCATTGTAAAACAGTGTCTTATCTTATGTTTTTGAAGGAAGAGGGGATGAGGCCAAGAGTAGTCAAAAGAGGAGTAGAAGACTTTGAGAGTATACAAGAAGGTAAGGGGTAACTCTGTGGCCATCAGCTCCATGTGTTAGTGATAGAATTTTGTTGTATGGACAGGATCCCACTTAATATATCATTACATACTTTACAATTCTGTTAATATCACATTGCTTAACATCACATTTCTGATAACATGATATTGCAAAACGCCACATTTTTGTTTATTTCATGTTACTTAATGTCACATTCCTTTTAATTTCATGATGCTTAATATAACAATCCTGTTAATATCATGTTGTCATTTTTAGAATTTGAGTATATATGTATACACTCATTTTTGTCACAGGAGAGTCTGCTCAAGTTGATCATCTAGTATTCATGGTTCATGGCATCGGATCTTTCTGTGATGTCAAATTTAGGAACATAGTTGAGTGTGGTGAGTACAGATTCTCTAGTGATATAAACACAAAGGGCACAACTCTTTAATGAAGAAATAAATCAAATTTCAGGGATGTGTTTGATCGATATTGCATCCTTATTTTCATTGAAACAAATCATTTGTCAAAAAGGTAAATGAGCTTTGACTTTAAAATTTCTTGTTGTTAAACAGTCATGGTAAATATTAACTGTATTAAAATCGTCATCTTGATTGCTCGTTCCTGAAACATTTTCAACGTGCATGATGATACGCTATGTTTTTCTACACAATGTGTAGCGGTTGTTTTATACTTAAGTCACGGTCAGTGCCACTTGTGACTTAATGATCCATCTGTATTTTATGTTTCCGTCGATTCTTGTTTGAAATCCCAAAAAGTCTGACATGTATATGAGGTATTGACATGTCTACATTGTGTATTGTTTTGCAGTGGATGACTTCCGGTCAATATCCCTCGGTCTGCAGCAATCTCATTTTAAGAGTTATGTAGACTCTAATCGTATTGGTCGAGTAGAGTTTTTACCTGTCCATTGGCATTCAGCCTTACATGGAGATGCCACAGGTCTCGACAAGTAAGTAAATCATTTACCATGGAGACACCACGTTTCCGAATTATTTACAGGATACATTGTTCCTGGACTCATGATTTGTCTTTGGGACACATTTTGTCTCTAAGTGATGGAAATCATCAAAAGTTTTAAAAAATGTAGTTTTCTGGACACACCTGAATTTTTTTAACATAAATTCTCATGTTGACAACATACACTTTTAGGATATGTCATAGGAAGACAAGAATCAGTCCATTTTTATCCCAAAACTTGTTGTCAAGAGTCAGGCTTAACCTCAAAAATGATACACAATGAAAGGAAGCATTACATTTATACTGAAGCTTATTATTGGTTGTCTGTTGAACCTGTAATACTAAATAAATTCTTCATATTTAAACATTTCTTAATCAAACTACATAAATGTTAGATGGAATAAAGAAGTATTTGTACCTCAGCTGTTTATTGTGGTAAGGTTTCAGTACAGATAGATCTGTAATTTTCTGTAATTGTAGAAAGATTGAAGTTGTTTTGGTATCTCATTAGCTGTTTATTGTGTAAAGGTTTCAGTACAGATAGATCTGTAATTTTCTGTAATTGTAGACAGGTTGAAGTTGTTTTGGTATCTCATTAGCTGTTTATTGTGTAAAGGTTTCAGTACAGATAGATCTGTAATTTTCTGTAACTGTAGAAAGATTGAAGTTGTTTTGGTATCTCATTAGCTGTTTATTGTGTAAAGGTTTCAGTACAGATAGATCTGTAATTTTCTGTCATTTAACTCGGTTGTGTGTAATAGGAATTCACTTCATTTTAACATTTTCTGTCCAACAGGATGCTAAAGAAGATAACATTACCCAGTACAGGAAAACTAAGGAACTTTGTCAACGATACACTTATGGATATATTGTTCTACACAAGTCCAACCTATTGTCAGGTAAAGTTCAACCTACTGTCAGGTAAAGTCCAGCCTACTGTCAGTAAAATCTGACATACATCCTGTCAGGTAAAAATTGACCTACTGTCAAAAAAAGTCTGACCTATTGTCAGAAAAAGTCCACCCTACTGCCAGTAAAGTCTGAAGTACCTCCTGTCAGGTGAAAACTGACCTACTGTCAGATAAAGTCTGACATATTGTCAGGTGAAGTCCAACCTACTGCCAGTAAAATATGACCAACTTCCTGTCAGGTAAAAACTGACCTACTGTCAGATAAAGTCTGGCCTAGAGTCAGATAAAGTCTGACCAATTGTTAGGTAAAGTCTGACATACTACCAGTAAAATTTGACCTACATCCTGTCAGATAAAAACCATCCTACTGTCAGACAAAGACTTATTGTCAGGTAAAGTCTGACCTACTGTCAGGTAAAAGTTTTTGTATTCTCAATGTTTTCCCCTACTCTTATCAGGTAACTCATTTATGTGGTAATACTTTACCATCACTCACAATGCAGGTAACAATGGTCATGGTTGTTTTTTAATGGTAAAAAAAGAACATGTTTAGTAAGAACTAAGGGATTTTGTTAAAAGAAAATCTCCAGGTAGAGAAATTTTCCTAGAACCAACATCCTCATATATATGTGTTGTGGTTCATCCACCAGGTTTCAGAAAGATTCCTACTTGGATACAGGGCCCTCTTAAAAATAATAAACAAATAAACAAGATGAAGAACAACTCCTAAAGTCAGATTTCCAAACAGTTTTTCTACATTCTTCTAGAACTGGTTGCAGACATACTTCTGCCTTAGGCAGGCCCTAATCAGGGCAGACTACATATGTAATTAGGAATGACAATTGAGGTCATGCTTTTAGTACTTCATGTAAACCAATGGTTACCAGTGGTGAAAGTTTATTAGGGCCCAGCATCGAGATCCTATAGTAATCAGCTTGTTTGTGTTTGTCTGCCATTTGTCCGCTCTTTAGTTTCTGTACAATATTTCAAATCTGTTGGGCCAATGGCACACATTCTGTATACTAAGTCTCCTGGAAGGAAGTCCTTGCTTGGGGTATATATCTTTTCATGTCCTAAGGTTAAAGGTCAAGGTCACTATTGCTCTAAATAGAAAATCAGTTTCCATGTGAAAACTAGATTTTACTTTGGCCAATATAACCCAAACTTCATACATTACTTCCTTACTGAAAGTGGTTGCTTGGATTTGCTTCTCAGGTGCTGGGATCAATGGTCCAGATTACAGTTACTCTAAGTAAAAAAATTGGTTTCCATGATATAAGTTGGGTTCCCTTGGGCCAATTAAAATCAAAATTCGTACAATGCTTTCTGACTGAAAGTGCTTGCAAAGGATTACTTTTCAGACCCAGAAATCAAAGGTTGAGGTTATTGTTGCTGTAATGGAATATCCATTTTGTAGAATAACTTGAGTTTGCTGTAGGCAATCTAATTCAAACTTGATGCAATGCTTCTTAACCAAAATTGCTTGTTTGAGATAGATTGGCATTCAGGTCCAAATGTCAAAGTTCACTGTAGTTATAAGCTAAAATTAGTTCCTGTGTGATAAATTGAGTTTGCTTTGCCCAATGTAAAACTTTATACAATGCTTCCTTACCAAAATTGCTTGCTTTGGATATTGTCTTTTATATACCAAGTCCTAAGGTCAAAGTCACTTTTGTGGCAGAGTGTACTTCAGGTCTTGCCAGTAATCTGTTGGTTTGGAGTGTGTGTCTAAGGGATGGTTGGTGGGTGGGAGGAGGAGAGGAGGGAGAGGGATTTCAAGCCACATAGTAGGACCCTTGCTGATCTGTCAGTGTTCTAGTTAAGTAATAGTTTTTAGTATGTTGATTGTTGTCTCCTCTTCCCCTGGTGAGGTATTCATGTGTAACCCAAAGAAATGTCACATCCGTAGTACTCTGACACAATATCATCATATCCCTTTCAGATCCAAATATGTTGTGGTACGGAAGAAATATTCTGATAAATCATCCATAATGGTAAATGATTTTGTTAATGTTTGATTTCCTGTAGAGATGAAGAGTTTGTGTTTATATTTTCTTACAGATGATAGCAGACACTGTTGGAGAGGAGATGAACAGATTATATAATCTATTCCTCAGCAGGAATCCACGTTTCCAGGGAACAGTTGCAGTAGCTGGTCACAGCTTAGGTATGTAAATAACCTACTACAGTTGACTGGGAAATGTAAATAACTACAGTGCACGAAAATACTGACAACTCGAATACAGGTGACTGGGTATGCAAATACAGGTGACTGGATATATAAGTACAGGTTACTGGGTATGTAAAAACAGGTGACTGGGTATGTAAATACAGGTGACTGGGTATGTAAATACAGGTGACAGGGTATGCAAATACAGGTGACTGGATATATAAGTACAGGTTACTGGGTATGTAAAAACAGGTGACTGGGTATGCAAATACTGGTGACAGGATATATAAGTACCGGTTACTGGGCATGTAAAAACAGGTGACTGGGTATGTAAATACAGGTGACTGGGTATGTAAATACAGGTGACTGGATACGTAAATACAGGTGACTATATGTAAGTACCGGTTACTGGGTAAGTAAATACAAGTTACTGAGTATGTAAATACAGGTGACTCGATATGTAATTACAGGTTACTTGTTATGTGAATACCAGTGACTGGATATGTAAATACAGGTAAATTTCATAATTTCCAATACTTCATTACAAAGAACATCAAGAAAATGTGCATATTCCCAGCCATGCCACTGAGTAATTGAATCAGAAATAAGGATCTACTGGTGCTGATGGCTTTAAAGTTAGTGTAAGCAGTGGCTAGGAAAAAATTCAGGTTGTTCCCATTGTATAAAGAATGGAAAATATAACAACATATATCAATCTGACTTGTTTAAAGAAATCTACAGCCTTGAAATCCTAAAGATTTTTACTAAGCTTTGATTAACCAGACTGGATAAGCACAAGATATGAAATCATAGAAATTGTTATAAAAGTTTTAAGTATTTATAAGGTACAAGAAATATTTATTGTTGTTGTAAACAGGTTCTACGATTTTGTTTGACCTGCTATTGCACCAGAAGGATCCAACATCCCCGGATCTCCAACCTCCAACAGACAGTGCCCCTCCCCAGGCAGACACCAGTCTGTCAACAAGCTTTACAGAGGATAGTGTATGACCATTCTACTACTGATAAATCAATATACTGTTGAACTGCTTATTTTCATGGGTGATTTATACCTGTTTGATTGTTGTGGCTGGGTAAATCCAACAATTTATAGGTGTATGTGTCAAACTACTGAAAATACATAAATTTGTGGTATTAGATTTCTCAAGTATGATTTATATACCATATTAGGTGTTCACACGAGAAAATGAGATATTACTTTCAGCCTGTCTGCATATTTATCTGACTTCAATAAATAACCAAATGACCAAATTTGATTTTCATTATAAATATTTACTAGTTTTTCTTTTAATATGCTGTGCTTATTATCTCTAAATGAACATTTATTTTATCTTTTATTTTCTTTTTCTTTGCCTTTGAAGCACTCAACTTCTAGTCAGAATGGTACAGAGGAAGATGAATCAGAAATGACATTGGAGGAACTCCTAGCCAAGGTCGGATTGCAGGACAAGCTGGAGGTGTTCAATCAAGAACAGATTGATATGGAATCACTGGTGAGAGAGAGAGTTTATAGAAGATATATACATTTTTAAACACTACCTCTCTTGGTATAAACTACAGCATTTCTTAGGTTCTAATTGGCTGTGATAACATTGGTGACTATGTATTTTGTTGTTTTACAGAGCATGTGTAGTGAAGGAGACCTTAAGGATCTAGGACTTCCCATGGGACCGAGAAAAAAACTCCAAGGACTCATTAAGGATGAACAACATAGAAAGGTATTGGTTCAGTCCTAGATTGTGAAGACTATGTTTGATTGATTGGTATTGAATTTCCAGAACAAATCAGCATTTACTTTATCAAGATGACCTATACAGATTTAGATATATGAACACTTTACCTGTGTTTTAGAAAAGAAATTCAGAACGGGCAGAGAGGAAAGCCAGGGAAGATATAGAAAGAAAAATTCGGGAACAACTGGAGGAAGAAATGAAGTCGCAGGCAGCCCAAAATAAACCAAGGTAAGAGTTGTTTGGTAACTCAAAATAAACTTAGGTAACAGTTGCCAGGTAGCCCAAAATGAACCTAGGTGACAGTTGCCAGGAAGCCCAAAATAAACCTAGATAACAGTTGCCAGGTAGCCCAAAATAAAACTAAGGTAACAGTGGTCAGGTAGCCCAAAATAAACCTAGATAACAATTGCCAGGTAGCCCAAAATAAAACTAAGGTAACAGTGGTCAGGTAACCCAAAATGAAACAGGGTAGCTTTGTTAGGTATCTCAAAATAAACCAATGTAACCATTTTCAAATAGCTCAAAATAAATTACTCTTTTCGACTGGATGGATCTGTGCAAAGGCTATTACAGTGGGGAGAAACCAGTGTATCCAAGGAAAAAACCCATGAAATCTGCCAAACTTATTCTTGTTTCATCATGGTATTGTCTTGGGGAAAGGCGAGAGTGTTGCCATCATGCCATCTGACCACCTAACATTCACAAGAAGTCTAGAGGTCAGTTTTGTGGGCATTTAAATTATTGCAACAAGCAAAGACTCAATCATGATAAATATCAAGATTTGGAATACTTAGATTCAGTTGTTTTGAGTAGATGTTGAAAACCAACCTTGGAATTTCAATTACTCTTTAATTGTTATCAGATTGTTTTTTCAATCATCTGTGCAGTGTTCACAAAGGGTATAGAATTACGTAGAATTGTATTTATGTACAAGTTTTTACAATGTAGCTGCCATTGGAGATATGCCTGTTTAGCATATTAAAAATTCCAACTTGGTGACACATACAGAAAATTTCCTTCTTAATTATTAATACCTCCTGTCTAATTTGCAGTGTATCCCGATCTGCCAGTATAAATGTCGAGTATATTCAGGGTATGTCAGGTACTGGGAGACCAAGTGTGATCTACCCACAGCTCCAGTTCAAACCCAGCGCCTTCATCGCCATGGGGTCTCCAATTGGTATTTTTCTCTCAGCACGAGGTCTTGACAAAGTTGGTGAAGATTTTAGACTTCCAACATGTCCAAGATTATTCAATGTTTTCCATCCTGTAAGTTGGTGAAGATTTTACACTTCCAACATGTCCAAGATTATTCAATGTTTTCCATCCTGTAAGTTGGTGAAGATTTTACACTTCCAACATGTCCAAGATTATTCAATGTTTTCCATCCTGTAAGTTGAATTTCATTTATTATTTGCGTAAGTGCAAATTGAAAAAATTGATGTTTTTGTCAGAGATTTTTACAAGAATGCATCACTACAGTATGTCATTGTTGGTTAAAGATTGTTTGTACACAAATTTCAAGCTCTAAACTATTTCTTATTAGCTTTTTGTCTCTTTTCAGTTTGATCCTGTGGTGAGTGGTATCTACATTTGATTGGTGTCCTGATCTTGATCAACTATTTGTAACGTTTAAATGTTTAAATGTTTAAAATTATTTCACTGATGTAAAAAACAATCATTATTATACTTAACTGGATGAAGCTACTATGTAATTTTAAAATTTCTGTCTAAAAAAGTCTGATATTTAAAAGAAGGAAATGAGAATTATGAAATTATCAATATATGAAATGTTTGGTGAAAGAAATGAAAGATAACACTGTGTGAAACTAGGAATAAAAGTACCCTACATTATTTGAAGAATTTTGTTTACAAGCCGACTTAAAAGTTCCTGTATATGAGCTTCATGTGATTACTTCGTGTGTGAGCCTTGATGGAGAGACTTTGTATATGAGCTTCATTTTAGAGATTTTGTGTACAAGTCTCATTTAAAATACTTTATGTATGAACCTTGTTTTAGAGACTTTGTATATAATCCTTGTTTTAGAGACTTTGTATATAATCCTTGTTTTAGAGACTTTGTATATAATCCTTGTTTTAGAGACTTTGTATATAATCCTTGTTTTAGAGGCTTTGTGTATGAGCCTTATCTAAGAGAACTGTTATCCTAATTTCAGGCCTACAGACTTGAGCCTTTAGTGACCCAATCAGCGATCAATATCAAACCAGTGCTCATCCCACATCACAAGGGCCGTAAACGCCTTCATCTTGGTAAGTAAGGATGTTATGGTACCTTGTGTCATTTAGGTATTGACTTCAGTCAGTTAATGAAGCATCCTATTGAAGAAACAGCTACAAGTAGAAAATAGAATACTTCTCTTTACTATCTCAGTACGATATTGTTGGGATGGTAGTTGACAAGGTGACACTACTTTTCACAGGAACTTTATTCTTGGGATATGGATTGACCTTGGTGAGACAGTATGTCACTTATCAAAAGTAGGTCACTTAGGCCTACATTTTGACCTTTAATTTACATTGCAGAAAATGTTTAGCCAGGCCCTATCTTCTACACTACAAATCACAAGATCTTAATTCTTAGGATATGGGTTCACCTTTGTAAGAAGGTCACTTTTACCTATATTTTGAGTTTTGACCTTCATTAGAGAAGAAGCTTGTGCAGGTCCTATCTTCTGCTGGTTGGTTGGTTACATGTTATTGGTCTCCTTCATTTATCCTATTTCTAAATGTTATCTCTGTGACGAATGTTAGTGTTCTGGCAACTTTTTATCTTCCACACTACTACCAGGTACATATGTAATCATGGGAACTTTATACTTAGGATATGGGTTTACCTTTGTGAGATGGTATGCTGAATGATCTTATCTGTATATGATTGATTAATTAACTAACAAAAATATAAACGTGTAGTGAAAGCTTCTGTATTCATAAAGTGAAACCTTGAATAATATACAATGTAAATAAAGTATGAGAGGCTAAAAATTAACATACATTACTAATGCTGTCAGATTTTGATAACAGTTTTAGTAGAATACTTCTGTCTAGTTATATAAGTACAATATTGCTGAATCGAAATTATTTCACTGAAACTGATCTTGCTCTTAAGAACATGAACCCTTCACACTTTGTGACCCTGACATGTTTCAGAACTGAAGGAAAGCTTGACAAGAGTGGGTGCTGACATAAAACAGAAGATTGTGGACTCTCTTAAAAGTACATGGAACTCTATTAATGATTTTGCCAAGGCTCATCGAACAAATGAGACCACACTTGGAGATTCACTGGAACAGCAAGTTGACAGTCAGATATCTTCTGTCATGCATGATTTGTCCCAGGAGGAGGATGATAAATTATGTAAGTAGCTAGATAAGTTGTTGTGCTGAAAGGCAGGTGTACAAATGTCAGTTACATTGCTTAGTATTACAATTACCCGAAAGTGTTTAAGCTACTTGTTCTTCAGATGTAAATAAGTCGAAATCTTAATTTCAATTTCCGATTTTCTCACTTAGCGTCTATATTTTAAAACTTCCTGTTGTATAAGTGATGTAAAGCCTGTTATCTCCCTTTGTATCATATGCTATGACTTCCTGTTGAGATGTAAAGCCAGTTACTTCCCTTGGCATTTTATCTGATGATTTCTGGTTGTATATGTGATCTGTCCGTAAACAATATATGTTATCGCTATTTCTTAGAAAGTACTGGATGGATCTCTCTCAAATTTCATGTGTAGGTTCCCTTGCTCCCTAGTTGAGCTCATTTGATTTTGGGATGGATAAGAAAAAAAGAACTGGCCAACAGGCAGCCATCATGGATTTTTAGAATGAAAGTTTGTTATCACTTTTTCTTAAAAAGGAACTGAATGGATATATCACAAATTTCCTCTTTGTCCCTAGTGCCCGTTTGATTTTGGGACTGATCAGAAAAAACAAAATGGCTTCCAACTGATCATCTTAAACATGGCAATTAAGAATTCTCAACGTTTGGTAGAGTTATGCTCCTTTTTGTAGATATTCTGTATGGAATATTGTGACAAGTAGATCTTATAAAGGACTGAAGCAGTATTTCTCAAACTTGGCACACTATATCCCTATGACATATGGTTGTGCTGTTTTGCTTTTCATGAAATTTAAACAATATTTGGTAGAGTTATACCCCTTTTTGCTGCTTTTATGTTTGAAATATTGTGTCAAGTGTATCTGAAGTCCTGAAGCAATATTTCTCAAACTTTGCATACTACATTCCTATGATATATAGTTGTGCCCTTTCACTTTTTATTCAAACTGAATCAAAAAGTAAAAAGCAAAAAGAGGGAAAAGATCCAACATTCAAAGAACAAAGATCAAACAATGGAGGGTGCAAAGATCCTTCTGAGATCTCTTGTATTCTATAACTATGATTTAAAGTGTGGTAACTCCCTTTGTAGCTATAGCCTCAGGCCATGAAGAGGAGATCTACATGGGACAGATGAATGAGGGACGACGCATTGACTATGTCCTACAGGAGCGACCAATAGAGAGCTTTAATGACTATCTCTTTGCTCTCGCAAGTCACGGATGTTACTGGTGAGTATTACTGCAAAGTCTCCACCCTGTTCTCTCAAGAAAATTGAGACTTCTTTGTGTTATTTTAGTCTGTTTACACATCTGTATTTTTGTATAGACATGTTTCCATTTCTTTAGATAAATTGATACCAAGATATACACCATTTTCTGAATGAATGAATTTTATCAAAACTGACCTTTGACCTTGTTCATAAATAGGGAGTCAGAGGACACAGTGTTGCTCGTAATACGTGAGTTATATGGTCCAATGGGAATTCTGCCTGAGATGCCTGATTCAAGTGGAAAACGCCTCTACACTGTTCCCCCGCCAACGGGGCCACCAAGGGGAACATCACAAGTACCAATGATGCCACAACCCTCAATGGGAGTACCTCCATCACAGTTTCCCTCTCAGGTGCCTCTCATGAACCAGCAGACCAGTGTACCATTAATGTCACCTCCATCAGGACCTACTGTCAGTCAGGGTCCTCCTATGGGGACAGCTCCACCTCTCCAAGGTTTCATTCGCACAGGACAGAAATAGATTCATTATCCATTGAAGTTAAATATAAACAACATTTTGTGAAAATAAGAATTATATTACCATGGTACATGTATTTCATTCTTGTGATGCAAAAATTGGTAACATAAATGACTGAACAGTGCATCATTAAAAATGTTCCCAAAATTAGTACCATACATTAACCAGGTGATTCAGATTGTTTTCTGGTACATTTTGTACATTACACAGTGTTATTTAACAGATGTTTCTCTTTGTTTCCTAACTTATTTAAATATTGTATGTCATGACCTGTTAATCGATTGTCCTTGTTTTAATGAAGAAATTTTTTGTCCAACATTCGGGAAATGCCATTTCTAGCTGTAAAATGGTATAAACCAAACAAGTGATCATAAGGAATTAGTTCAGTACATGTATCACGAAACAAGATTGTAGATATTAAATTCAATACAGGCTATTTCTATGAAATACAGCATTTGAAACTTAAAAAAACTAGTCAAGATTTCACTATGCAATTCACAAATTTTATGAATCTGTCAGAATCTGGAATTAAAAGACTGTTCTAATTATGATGAGGGTCAGAGACTCTTTTTATATTAGATTCTGATTTAGGGATACCTTAAAAATATTACATACATTCATATGATGTAAAAAACAACTTCATATTTGCCATTTTTGTGTTTAGTTAACGCTTTCAGGCCCTACACAAACGTTATTAGCTATTTTGTGTTTAGATGACGTTTTCAGGCCCTACACAAACATTATTTGCCTGGCTGTGTTTATTGATGTTTTCATGCCTTATACAACACAGCATTTGACATGTTGACTTTATCATGAAGTTTTCTGTATACACATGAGTCTCATTGTCAACAGATGATCTGCCCCTTTCCGGTGCATATTTAGATAATCAATAACTCTTTGCTTGGTAAATTTAATATTCATATTTTTCTGTCCTATTGTATTAGGAACTTGTATCTTTTTTTAAAATTTAAACTTCATTTGTTTTACAACAATTTGGAAATAAGCTGTCAGCTTATATTAATCTCTCTTGTTGGCCTGAATGGGAAAACGTGAGGGATCTCACTGTTGGAGGAAACTGCAGTACCCTGGGAAAACCCACTAGGCCGGGCAGATGACCCATACATTTTCATGTCTATTCCGGGAATGAAACCCAGGACAGCCAGGTGAAATCATAGAAACTTTAAACCTTTATCACCTGTAAACTTCACAAATCATAGAAACTTTAAACCTTTATCACCTGTTACCTTCACAAGTCATAGAAACTTTAAACCTTTATCACCTGTAAACTTCACAAATCATAGAAACTTTAAACCTTTATCACCTGTAAACTTCACAAATCATAGAAACTTTAAACCTTTATCACCTGTAAACTTCACAAATCATAGAAACTTTAAACCTTTATCACCTGTAAACTTCACAAATCATAGAAACTTTAAACCTTTATCACCTGTAAACTTCACAAGTCATAGAAACTTTAAACCTTTATCACCTGTTACCTCCACAAATCATAGAAACTTTAAACCTTTATCACCTGTAAACTTCACAAGTCATAGAAACTTTAAACCTTTATCACCTGTAAACTTCACAAATCATAGAAACTTTAAACCTTTATCACCTGTAAACTTCACAATTCATAGAAACTTTAAACCTTTATCACCTGTTAACTCCACAAATCATAGAAACTTTAAACCTTTATCACCTGTAAACTTCACAAGTCATAGAAACTTTAAACCTTTATCACCTGTAAACTTCACATCATAGAAACTTTCTTTTATCACCTGTAAACTTTTAAACTTTAAACTTTTATCACCTGTAAACTTCACAAGTCATAGAAACTTTAAACCTTTATCACCTGTAAACTTCACAAATCATAGAAACTTTAAACTTTTATCACCTGTAAACTTCACAACTGATGTTTTGTGCAATATTTTATTATGACAACTGTACCTTTGTGTGTAGTATCTGTTTGCAATAAAAAGCAGCAGAGGGATGTGAAATGTTGGCAGTGAATTTTCATCACCTGTTGATGTTGATTTGTGAGTACGTACACATTGGATTACCATCTTTTTCCTTGGTGTGCCGTTAAATATTTCAGGACTGTGATCTTATTTATATCCCATCAGTGAAATATGCCAGGATACTTAAATCAATAACTAAACACAAGACCTGTTCTAAATAAACATATAAAATTTAGCCTCTAAAAATCATTGGGACTGAATTAAGTCATTGTGATGCTTTGATATGATATTCAATGTCTTTGTAATGTTTGTTCCACTTGGTACTGAAGCTTTTTTCATGACATTCAAGATCATTTCAATGTTTGTGATGCATGGTGTAAAACATTTGTGACGTTTACATTATTAGTTTAGCCATTTACAATACTGTAAACTCATTTATTTTTGTGGGTAATTTATTTTCATTGATTTACATCTAGCTCTGTGTCCATTAATTCATGTGCCCTCAAATCATTAAACTATCAAACATTTGACATAAACTTTCATCATCCACAGAAGAAAGTGACCATAAGTAATTTTTTAACTTTACAAAATTTCAGGCACTCAGAAAACATGTGACTTTACGAGTACCTTACATTGATCTGGGTGTTGAATATGTCAGAATAGCAGTAAGACTTAGACGATCACTTGTAAGTTTTTACTTACTCATTTACTGTGTGTTTAGTTACTGGAATATTTGTCAGTATTTGTTACAGAAATGTTGTCTCCAGTGAACTTTTGTTGAAGAAAAATGTTAAACACTTGTTTTGGATGATGTTGTCCTTCCCATGAACAGACTTATTTATTTTTTATTGTTCCTAATATAAGTTACCAACGGTTTCTCTATGAAAAAGTATTTATATATGATATATAACATTATCATTCTTGAAAATGATGTATTAATGTATATTTAAGATGTTTTTATGATAACCAAACCCAATATGACCGTATTTTGAAAGAATGAATAAGTTCTTTGATTTGGTATAATTGGTGCGTTTTATGAATGGCATTGAACTGTGTAGCTATCATGAAATATTAAACAGCTAATCAAGCATGTTTCATCATTAACTTCAGCTGTCTTTTTTTCGCAAAATATGAATTATTCAAAAATTTGATTTTAAAGCAATGTCCTTTACCTAGCATTAATCCTTTGTTCAGAGTTGTCTCCCATAAAATGTTCAATCACCATATCTTTTATGGTGTGAATGCAAAATACCAGTTAGTCTAATTTCAAAACCAATTTTGTGTATCTTTCAAAAATTAAACAGAATTAATCATTAACAGAATTGACAGCATTCTTATGATAAGTGGAAATGTTTGACATACATCTTCATCCATTGAAAGTTAAAAAGATATGACTTTTTAAACTGTATTTTTTTAGTATATTGAGTTCATTAGTAAAATATATAAACCAGAAGTTAATTAACATGAATATGGAATCATTTTTTGAGATTTTATCTAACACACATTTCTCATTACTCAACTCTTCCGAGGATCAGTTTGTGAATCAGTTGTGAACATATAACCTCCTGGTCTATCTACAAACGTATTCTCTATATCAGCCTGATATCCTCCATCAACCTTGGCTACTGTTTAATCCATTGAACTTTATTACAGGATACCTGTAATATGCTATTGACAAGTGCCTACCATTGTAGGTCCTCCAATCATTTTGATAACTTGTGTTTAAATGACAATGCCAGTTGTTGGTCTTTATATGATCCAGATGTACATTTTGATCAATGTGTGTGAATGTTAACATGATGATAAAGTCCCTGTGTAGTTCTACTACATACAGTTATCCTCATCTGTCTATACCACGTGACTTATGAGTGTCATGGAGAGGAAATAGCTGTAACCAACAGCCCAAATCTTTCCAGCCCTAACATTAAACAGTCCAGGTCTTCACCAACAGTTCTTTGTCCTTTTTGTATTATGCAAGCTTAATGCTCAATGAATTTCTGTACGATTCAATTCAGATGACAATTACAAAAATACAAAGGTTTCAGCTCACCCAAGTATTTGAGATTTTCAATTTGTGTCTGAAATAAACATCAAGTTTTTGTTTTCAGTTTATATGAGAATCAGAGAATCTGTTTATTTACTCAGGTCCGTCATTCAGTCCAAGATAAAATGCCATAGATATATTTCATAAAACAGATTAAAGGTATATATTATACAGTAGAAGGACTCCATGTTTGGCTCACTTGCTGTCGGGACATCAAAGGGCTATACATACAAATGTAATCAAGAGAATAAATCCTGGAACGAACCTTCCACTGCTGGTATTGTTAATGACGTTTTAGCCCGAGTTTCCTCGGAATCTTAAGTAAGATTTGTTTGTTAAAATGTCTGAAAACTTGGGGTCAGAGGAGACTGACCAACAGGTCAATCCTTGCTCAGGCAAATAACATCTGTTATATTTCTTCTAAGACATACTGTATGAACAAGAGATCGTGCTGAGAACTGGAGCCTAATATATTCCCTGTAGCTCACACGAGTGTATTAGATTGGGACTGGTATCGGGGTCATAGTGTAAATATCCATGCAGGTATGGTTGATGTGTGGATGTATCATTGCCTGTTATATTTTTGTTAAATTTTAAATGTAAATACCATATATTAAGATGTTTGCAGTATATTAAGATATTTGCAGTGTATTAAGATGTTTGCAGTATATTAAGATATTTGCAGTATATTAAGATGTTTGCATGATTTTGTCCTTTATTTTATTTGCCATTGTCGTCAAATGTTAAATTGGTGTACAAAGAAAAGAGAAATAAAATGGTGCTGTGACTGTATTTTTTTGTATGTTATGTCTTCCGACGGATTTTTTTTCGGTTTGAAAAGAAACTTCACGAACACTCATTTTTTCATATCAATCTCTAAAAATATCTTGGTAGTCAAACCTGTCACACAAATTTATCTGTTCAATCAATACACAATTTAACTCCTCGCGAACTGTCCCAACAATTCCTTTTTGTCCAACAGAAAAAATGCTCCAGATTTATCGGATTTGTTGTTTTAGTTACCATTTGAAATTTGAAAATATGACTTCTTCAAAAGTGCACATGGATTTTCTTATGGTTTGCTCAATCAAAAGACGACACATAGGTGTACAGTGTACAATGGCGCGCGGTATTTTGAATGGTATTCCTGACAATGACCGGCTTGAAATATCTGGATTAAAATCGCCTAAATTGATGAGAAAAACCTCATTCGTTTTGGATGTTACAATTAAGTCAAGTAAACAACAACAAGCTGATGTGACAAAATTTCCAATCACTAGAGTATATCTTCTGTTTAATAACGTTTGTAACGTACAGCCGCTTATTTTCGCGGGAATTATGCTTTCGCTATTTCGCGGTACATAAGCTTGATCACTAAAAAATGTATATAACATAATGAGAAGCGTGTGTATCAGATGTCCTTTCACGTCCCGTGAGATCGGAAAATTTTAATTTGTTCAAATATAATTCGATCATATCAATAGAGAATCAAATAATCATTGACCCGTGAAATTACCAGTTATCCAGTGGTTCGTGTATAAAGAGCCACACCCACTCTGTTATAGATATTTTTTTTCATATTTTATTGACTGGAAATGTTAAAGACTTAAATAAAGTTTCGAACTTGAAATTGAAAGGGTACCGGAGATATCGGTGCCGGAATTAGTCTCATTACTCAACACCAGGGTATGAATATTGATGAGGAAAAGTCACGTGATACGTTCAGACGCGGTCAGAACCAAAAGAAAAATGGAGGAAGAGGTGAGTAGTACGTCCATGTGACATCGCTTGTAAAGAGATTTTACCGATAAATGCAATCAATACTCTATATATCCTGTATGGAAATCATCTAACGTATGTATTGATGGCATCTTTCAATGCTTAGATATGACACAAAAACGTGCAGATTACGAGAAAAACTACGATTAATTGCAAAGAGGCCCTCAAATCAAACTGAGAGCGATACAGAGTATGCACCAGCCATCTTCCTTCTTTGGTTGGAAGACAGGATATTTATTTACGGTTCTTTGCGTTAGCGTCAGAGGGCAGGACTTCCCGCATAATTATGAATTAGCACGGAGTCGTTTCGAATTCTTTTTTTAAAACTATTTATTAATTGGTAGCGATTGTATTTTAGAGAAAATCATGAAATTTTTTTTATATGAAAGGTATATCGGTATTTTTGTGACGAAATCTCCGAGTAAAGCCAAACTGAGAGGGTATACAGTAGTATGAAATCTCCCATCAGTAGGGTATATCATGTATTTTTGTGTTGGAAGACAGGATCCCATCAGTAGGGTATATCATATATTTTTGTATTCTTTGCGAAATCTCCCATCAGTAAGGTATATCATGTATTTTTGTGACGAAATCTCCCATCAGTAGGGTATAATATCAAGTATTTTTTGTGACGAAATCTCCCATCTGTAGGGTATATCATGTATTTTTTTGAAATCTCCCATCAGTAGGGTATATCATGTATTTTTGTGACAAAATATCTCCCATCAGTAGGGTATATCAAGTATTTTTGTGATGAAATCTCCCATCAGTAGGGTATATCAAGTAATTTTGTGATGAAATCTCCCATCAGTAGGGTATATCATGTATTTTTGTGACGAAATCTCCCATCAGTAGTGTATATCATGTATTTCTCATCAGTAGGGTATATCATGTATTTTTGTGACGAAAATGTGATGAAATCTCCCATCAGTAAGGTATATCATGTATTTTTGTGAC